TAAAAGAAATAAAAATACTTTAATTTATATTGATTTGTTTGCAGTTAAAAATATGCGGCTCAGTATCATAATAGTTTGATTCAGTCAGCATTTAATATAAATTGTGAATTACATAAAGTCATTTTGCATGTTTTTATAAAACAAAAGTTGTTCGTATCTCTTTTTTTACTTTTTTATTTTTATAATCGTTTTAATAAACATTTCAAAATAATATCAAAGTAATATCAAAGCATTTCTTCTAATTCTTTATATATGTAATTTTCACGCAAATCGATTTTAACGAATTGCCTTTCTACTGGAAAGTTAATTAACGCAATGAAATTTGAAAGCTATAATCTGGAAATTATACAATCGTAAAATTTAATGATCCAATACATTGTTCTATTTTGCTTGCAATGCGCATTTCCAAATATACATATATAAATAACTTGAAATGTTTATACTAACCATTATACGTTGATATGTCTCGAGATTTTTTAAATCCATTGACGGGAGCAATGCATCCAAAACTACAATGTATCCGGCGTCTTATACAGTATTCAGTTTTGATCTATTGAATTCCATCGAAATCACGCACACTTGCACTCGCGATGCGATATTTAATGTTTCATCGGCGTTAAATATTATATATTTATCTTGGATTAAAATATACTAATTTTTTTTAACGATGATTGAAAGTAACGAAATGGAAAGTTTTAATTATGCACTGCATGTGTTACTCATTTAAATTCAAATAATTTTTACGAAATTAAAATTTTATTAAAACGTAAGAAAGTAATGTAAATGTAGAATACTTATTGAAATATTTTATAATGATATAAAATAACGTTTAAAGTGATATTGATTTTTATTATATTTTTTCGACTTGTTTTTAATTTATACAAAAAGATGCGCTTGAAACATTATTATCAGGAGCACCGTCAGTACAAACGTGACCAAATCTCTGGCTAAGAAACAATTTTGTAGTACCAGACGTATGACTACGGCGGCTGTTAGAAGAAATCCCATATTTAACCACAGCATTTTAATATCACTATATTTCTACGCGTATATTAATTTACTCAAACTTCAACTAATCGATATGACTCGTCTATAACGAATTCTCAATTGAAAGAATTCATGAAGAGAACTGCGGTAAGAACTCGCGAAAAGAAAGAGTTTACAAAGTCCTTGGAATATTATGATAACCAAATCAACAAAAAACGCCGCTCTGTCAAAACAAATTTTATCGGTTGGAATTTAAAATTGGCAGTAGTTCACGCAATATTTTCGGACAAAACCAGTTATTTTAATTTATGGAATAGATTAAAAATAGAGTGTACGTTGGGCTATGATTGTGGTAAAAAAACCCGCTTAACGAATTCGTTTATTTCGATGTCGAAAATGGAAATACATCGACACAGAAACGGATCTATGTTTTATTGAGGAAACGATTAAAAAATCAGCGCATTTGTACAGAAAATAATCGGACGGTCTCTTCCCACCGGCTTTAAAATCATCCCGCAAACCATTCTCTGGATTGGTAGATATCCCGCCGACGGTTATCTGAATGCTGAAGCGGCTTATTAATTATTACACGTTGACCCACTGCCGCTTTTGGAGTCTGCGCTGTTTTAGAGCGCGTTGCTTAAGCATTACATTCAACGAATGAGGTGAATCGTTGTGCTGCATCTCGTTGCGTTGAAACATGGATAAAATATGATGTGTTTTATACAAATTATCCCTTCTATAACAGAATTTAATTAATTTTAATGATACAGTTGTTCGTTAGACAGCTCCAAATTGCTCGAGAAACTCACTTATATATCTTGCTATTTATTTTATTTTAGAATTAGCGAGTGATATTCAAAGAGAGATTATATCGAAAAATATAATCATCTACAAAATATTTTTATTATTTAATAACTTTATAATTTAAAAGAGAATAAATAAGAAAATATAAGATGCTCGGAAAATTAACAATTGTCTCTTTTAAATTAAAGCACGTAATAGTGAAGCATGATCGAAAATTTTTACTAAAAATGAATTGTTAAACTTTTACTTAGGAAATATATTTCAATTGCGAAACTGTTTCTAAGTGGACATTTTGTTTAATTAATAGAGATTCGAGTTGTAAAACTAATTTGCGACATTATGGAGGTGTTTAACGTTGAAAATTATTTAAAAAATTTTTGTAACAGATTAGCGAAAAAGATTATATAATAGGATTATGTAATGAATTGTTAAGAGAAGTTTTGTAATCTAGAAAAATACATATATATGTAGATATCTATATGATCACAATATGCTGTCTTCAGAATCAGAAAATCGTGACAATCCATTTTGCATCTTTTTTTTCATTCCGATTTGGATTCAACTTTGAAAATCGATAATAAGATCTTATTTATTCTTGTGTTTCAGACGTTTTGCGTAGTATCCAAGAGGTTCCGCAAAAACTACATTCATAGGTTTACGGCGACCAACAGTTGGTTCATATTCTCCCCGTGGAATCCTATACGGCGGTGCTGTATCTTCCTAAGTACGAATCAGTACTTCGATTACGTGGTCATGGCTACTATCCTTCTTAACTGCGTCTTCCTGGCCATGACCGAAACCGTCGAGGAAGCCGAGTAAGTAGGCTGGTGCCTCATGCTTACGCAGTAGCGGTGTTTAGTCAGCAATAAGTGACCACTAAAATTGTGCTTACTTGGTGTGTTGTCGTTATAAAATGTATAATCATACTTTTTTAAAAATAACAATCGCAATGTTATTTGTAATTATTATAAAAAATGTTATACATAAAATTAAAAAATTTGGTAATACATTTTATAACTAATTTCAAATTGATTGTGTCTTAAAAAAATTTAATTGAAACATACTTTTTATTTTACTTTTCAATATTAAATATCTTAATTATTGACAATAATTATTAATATATATCTAATAACAACAGTACTAAGTATTTAATAAATAAAATGATATAATTTATCGAGCATGTACAATATGTATGAAGCCACATATTATTAAAAATTTATTACGGCAAAATCCGCTTTAGAAATTTGATAAAGAATAAAGTTGTAAAGAAAAAGCTCATTTTCAGGCGCTTTTAAAGCCTATTGAACGTTAAAGTCTTTGATATTTCAAAATTTTGCTGAGGAAAATTTGCCTCTGAACATAGAATCTATTTAACCCTTTTGTTTTCAAATATCGGGCATCTCCGCGTCTGAATTAATTATTAATTGGCTCTTAAATCATGTCTATAAGTGACGATATCCGCGCAATAATAATAACAGCCTGATATTGTCATTTCGCAAATGACATTCTTTATTACTGCAGTTATTATACCGTTTTCTTTGTTCTTTTGTTCCTTTATTCGCTCGATCATAAACGTGCAAGCATTAAAACGTTTAAAGACAATTAAGAGACAAAGGCAAATAATTACTAGTAGTTGCACATAATATTTTCTTAGAAAGAAAAGCTGTGACAGCTGCTTTTCAAAATCCTGGAAAAACCTGGAAAACTTCAAAATTGCTTGCTAATAAAAAACTAACTCGAGTTTCTGAATTCTTCGTTTACGGTACAGAGATACAGTTATGTCTTTTTTCATCTGTATCACATTTCAGATGCTACTCGTTTTCAAAATTCATAGAAGTTGCTAGCTTCTCAAGTCAAATATGCTTTGGTTATTATGTAAGTTTTAACAAGCATTGTAATCTGTACACTTTCTCTTAACATTCTTTGACATTTATAAAAATCAAATTGATGGAAGAGCAAAGGACAATGGGTAAAACGAGCTCATTTTTACTTAAATCTGCTATAAAAATATGTGTAATATAAAATATATCAAATGTATGAAGTAGTGAATGCTATCTCTCTTTTTAGTAATGAACAATAAACAAAATGCGCAATATTAGTATTCTTAGCACGGCCATAGTGTATTAATTTAACATTAATTAATATTAATTTTATGCTCTATATTAATAATATTAAATATTAAATTAATTTATTTATATGTAATTTTAGATTACAAAAAGTTAGATATCAAAAATTCAACCTAATGTATTTGTCCATTTAATTTTTTTCTAATTCAAATGCAAATCATTAATTAATTTGAATACAGAGTTATCATTTGTTTTCTATAAACTTTGATCCTTATTTTAATCTTTACTATAATCTCGCCCCTTAATTCTGTTTTAATATATTGTTATTTTTGTTTAATTCCGCGCATAATACAAAATATGATGTTGTGCATCTCGTTATCACGCGAAGCAGAAAAAAATTGAAAGTGACCGAAATAAACCATTCTGATTAATATGATTATCATAAGGAAATTACTAGAGTTGCTTTATGATAGCCGAAATTAAATTTTTCTAGCCCACTGATTCCTTTACGCGGACGTCAGATCATAAAGTAAAACCATAAAATCTTCTTAATATCCGCGTTATAGTTCAGTTAATGTCTTCAAACATCATTTTATCGCAGTCTCAGAATTTTGAGACTGATTTAGCGGAAACGATGCCTTTCTTTTCTGCCGCTTCCTAAATTCTTTAAATGTCTGAAGAATTATAGTGTTTTATTTCTATAAAAAATAAATATTCCTTATTGAATATTGAGATTTACGTGATTTCGTTACGAAGAAACACACAATTCGTTTTGCCTGTCTTTTATTACAATTAAAATTTATTTACCATCTGGCACATTGTGCCACCTTAGGCTAGACTAGCGTTCGACTTTAGGCTTTTGTCAGTTAATCGAAATCCGTGCGGCATTCGGAAAGTTAAAGACGTGCCTGTGATGGGGGGTGGGGTCTCTTTAAACATGCACAACTAGCGTTCATTTCATATGTGTTCACTCAGCATGTAATCCTCTTAAGCTAAGTATTCTCCAGCGAGTAACTCGCGACAGTTCTCGTCGACTGCGGATAGCAATTCGTTTAACGTGCTTCCGCCGAATATGTCTCGCGGTAATTTTCCGCAACTGCGGCCCGAGCGAAGGCGTGTCAGATTAACGAGCTTTCAGGGTGGTGAATAAGCGATCTCTTCAGACTTCCTCTCGGGAAGTTAATTGGCCTAACTCGTTTAATATAATGAGGAACTTATATACATGTTTTTGACCAAACAATTTAGCATCCATTGGAGAATAGAGAGTTTTTTTATTATTAATTATTAAGAGAATAAAAAGGAGAACTCTGCTTCATCGGTTTATCAAAAGTTGCTCTTAGCTGCAGATTGAAGTAAAATCTAGCTTACGTGTCCTGCAAGGAAAAATTATTAATATATTCCGTGCCATGTGAGTCATCGGTGACCTGCACGCTGAACTCTTTCCGATCAGACCGTTTGATATTTTTTATTATAAAAAGAAACGTAATTGTAAAATAATGTCTGATATCACACGTGGATATACAGAGTGATCCTTAGTATGAAATAATGGTTAAAAGTTACATGAAAAAAAATAATTTTACTCAACAAATATATATAACATAACAAACAATAAGAATACTGTGGATGACTCACACGGCGCGCGTCACTTAAGCGCGGCCGCAGAATGTGTTAATAAACCTTGGTGATAAAGTCTACGGCAGAGCATCGATATTTCGATGCTGTCACGCTATTTTCGATAGTTCGGCGATCGCAATTTCGATAATCCTGCGCTCGTGCAAAATGTTCATTAGGATCGTTCGCGTCGCCACGCGATCGGGGATAGCACCTCGTCACGCAGCACAAAAGCGGAAACAAAAGCTCGACGCGCCGCGATTATTCCATGCCCTCGGTGCGGAATGCAGGTTGCCAGCTCGGGGGATGCAGCGCTGGTGCATCTCGGAGCGCGGAGATGGTCGGAATGCCGCAGGGCGCGACGTCCGAGACGCGAACGGAAGCTTTAAAGATTTTCTCTCTCTCTCTCACACACACATACACACACACACACACACACACCGGCGCTGTCGAATTGGGTCGAAATTCTTTGCCTCTGTGCACGCCATGAACGAGAGTCGAAGAGGTGGAGGAATGTTCGTGAGGAAAATTCGCGATTGTCGATCGGAAATAACAGATAGACAGAATTTGTGTAAATTGCAAATAAGTGACTCTAACATCTCCGAAAATGCATTCAGAATTTCTTATTCTCCTGAGCTATTCCGTGACGGTTTACCCAATGTTTCAACGTGCACGACAGCGTAAGTGCGATATAAAGATTTTTCATGAGACGGCTGTTCCGTAAGCATGATGTATTTGTATTGTTGAGAAAGTTAAATTGATTGCTGGCAAGTCGGTGTTTGTAATACGCTTGAGATGATTGATTCGATACAGGCGGCTACACAGAAGGTGATTTATATTATGAACGCAAGTCCTAGATCTGCGTTTAATCTCAATTTGAAGTATAAAGTTTGGTTTGTGCGCTTATAAAGTTTAATCATAAGCAAAAATATTATTCTGGGTGAATCATAGATAGAGATTTTACTTTATTCTTAATGTATAAATCGTATAGGTACAAAAACATTTATAAAATTGTATGTGACTAAAAACGTATGTCGAAATGTAGGTATTGATATTTGTTACAAACTTTATAAAAGCTTAACAACCAGTTATGTTTGTTCCTTTATTTCTGATTTTTAATCGTTTGAGTCTTGAAATTATTTTTATTTTTGTTTTCAAAATTATTTGTTTCTAAATCGTATTATCTAATAAAATTATCGTTTGATTATTTATCGAAGGAAGATCGCGTACATTTTACAATATTACCGAATGTAACAGTTTTTGCATTTAAAATATAGTTTGAAACGATCACTTATATTTCTTGGGAATCATAAAACTGTGAGGAAAGATGACTTTTCGTTACAGAATAAATTTGTCAAAACTAGTTACAGGAACTGCGGTAACTCAGACAACATGTTCTATATAACATTTTGACTTTCCCGTAAACATGTCGGGGTCTCGATATAACGGACGGTAGCGGATAGTTGATCTGACATCTTCGATGTTTCTCATGTTACAGATATATCTTCCTAGCCATATATACGGCGGAAATGGTGATAAAATCAATTGCGAAGGGATTTATACTGAACAAGTACACTTATCTACGGAATCCCTGGAATTGGTTGGACTTTGTGGTGATTACCAGCGGATATGCCACTATCGGGATGGAAGTCGGAAATCTGGCCGGTCTCAGGACGTTCAGGGTGTTGAGAGCACTTAAGACTGTATCCATTATGCCAGGTAATACAGCATGAGTCTGAGACACGTACATCTCTATCCGCATTTAATTCGATCGAAAGCAGAAGTACCGAACAGAATTCCTCGTCTAAAAAATTGCGACGATGATCTCCAATTTATTCTTTTGAGCTTAATGAAAAAAAGGATATCGAAACAATTAATCTTGATAATTTTAGCTCAGGTACACAATTTCGGCGCAATTATTCCTCTCTTCTTTGAGATGTGAATGTGCATTTATGAATATACTGCGGATGGGAACAATAGTACACGAGCATGTGTCGATGCGTATTGATTACAGTTGACAAAATATTAAGCATTGGTTTACGGTGCAGCGATTAAATCGCGCACGATCGATATCGGTAGACACGTATTAATTAGCCGCGGATAAACTGAGCTGTTTCCCGTATTAATTCGGGCTTTAAATCAAGCCCGCATTTGTGTACTTCTCGCTGAAATGAGCATAAACGATTACTTCGGATAGCTAAAAATCGCTTGCTTTTGTCGCGCCACATAAACGCAATCGCGATTTATCGTGTTAATCGCCATTCGCATGACTGAAGCTGACAATCGCGCGCGGATGGGATTCGGAGTAATACTCATTGCGTAGCGTTTACGTTTATTATCTAGATATTTGTATATGCGTTTTTTGAAACGCATGCATTATTATTGTTATCTTTACAATATTGCGTATTAATAGCTTGATCGAAATTACAGTATTCCACATCAGAATTCATCGCGATGTTCCGCATACATAACTAAACGTTCATGGCACGTACGGCTCTTTTTTGCGGTCGTGTATGATTGCGTATTAATATATGCATGAGGACGTTTAGCGGGAACGTCGGTTCCGCTTGCGAATCGCTCGCATTTGTCACATAATCGTTTCGTTTCGCAATCCCTTGCAATATTCAGCATCGTGGACCCGCTCGGTGGGGCACGTTTGTAAATTTGCGATAGCGCGCTAAAGGGAATTGCCGAGCTTCCGCGCGTCACATCGTGATTCGAATAGAGACAGAGAGACCTGTGATCCTTGATCGGTTGTGTGTCACGGCCAAGTACATTTGCAATGGCCGGCGATGATAGATTTGACATGCATGATATGGAATTCGCATCAATGGACATCAGTTTACGGTGATGCGCACAAAACGCAACGAGAGCAAAAGCGCGAGGATGATCCGATTTTTATCTTTGATTTACCGACCTCAGAAATTTATGGATGTGATCAAATTTAAGAGGAAGGTTTATCACGTTTATATTCTCTCGTCCACATTTTTCCGAAAACAATTCTTATAGGATTGAAAGTTATCCGAAAAATGCTTGGTATCTGAAATCGTTGAAGCTTCGAATTTCTCGAATAATAACATTATTGCAAATGTGCGAAAGAAGTTCTGCGTTCCTTGAAATGCGTCGCTTTCCAAGATATAAAGTAATTTGTGAATTTGAATTAATTCAAATTGTAAAGTATAATAAATGAAATTATAAGTTAACTTAAGTTAAACTGAAATTAATGCAGATTTACTTTAACTTTTAAATTTTTGTGTATATATAACATTCTCGACACATACCTCTTTGATACTTTGAACAATTTTATTAAAATTTGATTAAACTTTTTTTTAATTTCTCCGGTTTCTGTCGAGATCAGTCCATTTAGTGATGTCAAAAACCGTGTGTTTGGATTACTGATTGTTCTGATATTTATTCGTTGGGAATAAAGGAAATGAACGAATTATCTTGCAAGACGTGCAAAGAAACGACAATACTGCAGGCTCAACGCGCACGTCAAGCGTCTTTAGACCGAGCACGTCGAAACTTCAGCGCGAAATAACAAAGCGAGAGAGCGGAAGGCAAGGAAAGTAACGGGTCACTAACGCAGCGCGGCCCAGAATTAACCAAATTAAAGAGATCAAAAGGCATAATGGGAGACCATAAAGCGGCAGTCTGTCTCTGGCTACTCGAACGAAAAACACAAAGCGGCTGAGAGGATTCCCGGGATGGCGGAAGCGGGTTTAAGTTTCCACGGAGAAGGGACTGAGTACACAGAGACGGCGAACTTTAACCGAAGTTCGCGCGAACGGGGAACTCGAATGCGGCGAATGTCATCTCCGTCCACGATCCCATGGACCCCGTCGCAGAGATTATTCTAGATATTATCGAGACCGTTCCGTTTCGCATCTATCGTATGTGCTCGGTGAAAGGGACCGTGATTTATCTCGACGGTCTGCGATATCGATTTCAAATGCCGCGTGTGCACAAATCGAAAAAAGTGCGCAAATGTACACAGCTATACATACCGTACGTGATTTATTGATTTGACCGCAAAAAGCCTTTTTCCCCCGTATGTTCCAATATCGGAGTCCAAAAGAAAACAAAAATAGACGGGAAACTTCGTAATATTCGCGAACGTCCATGATTAACGCTGCAAATTGGAGATCTTCGATCTCTCTTGCTAAGATTTTCTCGATAATCTCGAAAAATAGTCTAACAATAAATTATCGAGCGCACAGCGAGCCGACAGGAGATCGAAGCGCACTGCTCGTATTAAGCAGCAGCGTTTTCGAGAACAGTCGAAGGCCGCGGGGCAGCTCCTTCCGCGCTCCGCGGGATTCCTAAAGGCCGATGAAATGAATGCCTCTCTAACGATACGCTGTAGTGAATAGCGCATCTCTGCCAGTAGGTCAATAAGATGCCTCTCAAGCAAAGTTGCCGTGGTCTCGTCTCGGAAAAACCGCGCGGCCTACTGAATTCCTTGCTGAAGCTAACGGCGGATGTTAATAATTCAAGACACGCGCGAAGATTAAACCGCTTAATAAATTAGAAAATATGACGGGAGTGTATTACTTTGCGAAAACTTTCAACTATTAATGTTAGATAACTTAGACCATTTAGTTTGGTTTCGACCAAACTTTGATTAACTTAATCGGCGATTAATTCAACCGGCGGATTAATTCAAAGCCGTTTAAAGTAAAATTTCTGCTTATATACATTTGTTATCCTTAATCTAATTTTTTTCTATGTATGTGTTATAAACAATAAATTAATAATTGTATTTATATAAATAGAAATATTACTCGATAAGAGCTAATTAAGTTAATCAGAATTTGTCAAAATTGTTCTTAGTTGTCAAAAGAAATTGTATTAAAATAACTGTACACACATACGCGCACACGTACAAATACATATATTTGTAATGTTAAATAATGGAAAATTTGGATTTACTAGATAGAAAATAGCGTATTTGTAACATATGTTATAGGTCTAAAAACTATCATCAACGCGCTATTACACAGCTTCAAGCAACTTGCCGAAGTAATGACGCTGACGATTTTCTGCCTGATGGTTTTTGCACTATTCGCATTGCAAGTTTACATGGGCGAACTTAGAAATAAGTGTGTGAAGCAACAAGAGCCGAATACTACGCAAGTCGACTGGAGAGAGTAAGTTATTTTTTGTTATTACTTGCGTAAAAATCCGATTTTAATTGATTCCGAATTTTTATTCTTCCCGATAAGTATGAAATATTCTCAATCCTTTATGTCAAATATATCCGTATTATTATTAAGAAAACTTTTAACATTAAGCAACATTGAGTCTATATAAAGTATTTATAAAGTTTCCATTTTCTCGAATTTAAATGTTCAATATTAAATGATTGGCAGATATGAGCTATTTGTTCAGATATTGGATTTTATATAAGTCAATTTCTTCTTTATACTTCAAAGATTGTATTGTTGGTCATATTATACACAAAACCAAAATGGTTGTAAATAATAAAACTCCGAAAATAATTACGTAATAATTTACGTAATTATTTTCGGAGTTTACGTAACTTTTGGATATTTCTGTTTGACGTTCTTCTAAATCACAGTGAATTCTATATAAGAGAGAACTGCGAAATATTATATTAAACCAGTAGTTGAAAATATGATTTCGCAAATTTTACTAGAGAAACATATATTCCGCAATGCAGTTGAAAAATGTGTGATATTCCAACGCAGAGACTTTCGTGATATTTTTGCGTATTTTCAAATACAAACGCGTGCTCCCACTAAAATATTATCCCACAAAAATTTCTATCGACTTCAACAAAGTAAAGGGTAGTACATTTATCACGTTCTTTCTTATCGCAAAATTGTGTTAACGAGGAATGCGATAAATCCTTGAGTTTTCATAAATCAATTTTGTTGATGTCCATTGCGAAATTAATTGATAAATGTTACACTAAGAGAATTATTCGTATCGTAAAAGAGATCGCGTTGCGCGAGGGAGGAAATGTTCGATTAAAGACACGAGGTACGAGAAGGATCATTTCGTAATCAAGATAAGCGCGTCCCGTGCATCGCCACAGATATGTAAATCGTGCGAGGATCGTTTAAAGCGGCGCTTAATCGTCGCAGTAGTCCGACCGTAATCAACGACACGGTTTCCGCAAGCGCAGTGGTGGATCCAAACGATCCGAGGCCCCAAGACCAACGGGGTATTAACGAGGAAATCTAAATCCTTTAGTAAGAGCGTGCTCAATCTTAAGGAATGCGCAGAGACATTTCGCTTTTAAGCAATTATTGTTGGTAACCGAAATAAGATATATTCTTGTGAAAACACATTGCGCTTACAAACGAGCCTTAAATATAAATTCAATTTGTTTTTTTACGAAGCATTAATTTAAAGTTAAAAGGACGCGCAAAATGGGTGTAAGTGAAATTGCGCACTCGGACATTCTCTACGCGGCTGACTATTCGTCAACCATAACTACTTGCGCAGCGAGAGATCGTTTGCTGGCTATTCTATCGCTATCGCTCAGCTTCTCTTATGAAACCGTTAGTGTAAATAATATATCATGCTGTTTCAAGCAATTGTTGCTAGTAACTGAAATAAAATATGTATATTCTATACTGAAATAAAATATGTATATTATATACAATCATATTGCGAACTCTCTACGCGGCTAACTACTCGTAAATCGTAATTATTTGCGCAACTAGAGATCATTTGTTGCTGCTATTTTATGTAGTTATTATTTCCTTTAATGAATCGATAGGACAGTATGAAACAATAAATATTAATGAAATGCAGCCCTGGCTATGAAAATAAAACATCCCCATAAATTGACGTAAACGTTCAATATCTAACAAAAAAATAATTAAAAAACAGTTTTATTGAAAAATGATATTTATTTTTATAACAATTTTAATATTTTGTCAGTCTTTTTTTGTTTTTTATGGTCGCCTTGTTCAAGAAAATGTAATAAATTGAGGGTGCTTCATACTTATGCTTATTACACGGTCGTACCAAATCCGTGACATATCAAAGCTGCCTTGGGCATTTTATATTGTATACATTTGGAGAAGTAGTCGCAAGAGAAAGAGTAAATTTTGACTAGGCTAAAGAGATTAGACCAGTAAATATGGAAACAGCATACGTATACGTGTCGCAATCCGTCACTGCGCGGTCGGCGTGGTGCACCGCGTCCCAACGAGCATTCGTTTCCGCACCCTCAGCGCGAGTGCGCGGCGCGGCATTTACGAGCATCGCTATCGGGTTTCCGGTCGCGATGCCAAACGGACCGCTCGCCGCGTGCTTAGGAGGCTATCCGCTGACGGATCTCATTGTCCGCGCTTTCCAGCCCGACAACAGCATCGATCCGCGTACGGTGCACACATCCCGTCGTGGGAACGTGACGCGTGACGTGACGCTCTTCGGGGAGACGCACGGATGCGCCGTTACGCGATGCGTCGCGCATTAAAACTCTTCGAAAGCACGAGGTACTCTTTTTTTTTACGAGAGTTGAGTATGCGGGGTGATTTATGCGGAGATATGCGCGCGCGGCTTCAAAGTGGAAAAAAGTCCGGATAGTTGCAAAAAATGGGGAAACGTTCGTATTATTTATGAACTCGATTCCGCGAGGAGAAAGCCGCGTATTTGATTCGCATGCAACGGGAATTGTGTTTAATGCACCGGGAATTATGTCATAAATTTAAGTTATAAATACAATGTCGACTGGTAGCAGAAACAATAGAATGCAATAGCTCTCGATTTCTTCTTTAGATTTCTACGAAATTTATTTGAACCTATTTCAAATAAGATTGCCCTCCTCATGTTAAATTTAGATTTTGCAATTTTAAATAAATTTGTATAATTTCTCTTGTTTAATTTAAAGCAAATATAAATAGTATTAATCGGAGGAACGTGGCGGAAATATGTACCTCGGGGTTTGCGCACGTTTACTTCTTGTTAGAGAAACGATCGCATCTGTAGCTTTCTAGCAGATGACGGTGAAACAGTACGTGGCAATTTATTCCGCTCCGGTAGGATGTAATACTGCTTCGCATCGGTTAAACTGAATGGTCGGTAGCGTTGTGTTCCTGTCGCGGATAGGTATCGCTATCTGCGATACCATGATCTTGCTGCTCGTGACGAGGAAACGCGGCCGCAGGCGTAAGCGCACATAAGCAAATAATACGCGTATTCTCGCCGTGTTAATTCTCGTCGAATACGCGGCCGCACTATTCCCATTTCGTATCATTTAGATAATTGGAGCCGCAATGTAGAATCAAATGCAGCGTAAATGAAAACGAGAAATTAATCTTGCTCTATGTCGACTAAACTAATATCGATACAACGCTTATCTCTGGTTTATTATTATTAATTATTTAAAATGATTGATAATATACGATTTTTGAATAAAATAGAATCATCCGAGGAACTAATGCCTTACCCACAATCTGTCACAAATAATCACAATATATTTTATAAAAACAAAAAAAAATATTGGTTTGTGTAACCGTACATGCTTGTAGACGCTCTATTCTACACATCTATCTTCTATTTTGTCACGTTTTTTTTATCGAATATTACTCGCAGTTGATTTGATTCGTTCGCGCGCGTATTGGACAGCGGCAAATTGAGGAAAATTGATCTGATAAATTGACTGCCGCGCGACAACGCAGAGAAAGGCGGCGGATACGTAATTCTCTCGCTTTAAATCTCTCTGGAGATCGCGAGGTCTTGGGGGACACAGGAACGCTAACGGAATTTTCGTGTCGCCAACAGGTGGACTTGGAACTCATCCAATTGGGCGTTCAACGAGGACGAGGAGCCGATCATCTGCGGCAACGTAACCGGCGCCAGGTTGGTATCTCTCTGCTTACCCGCTATCCCCTTCGTCGTCCCGTTTCAGCTAAGCTAATTCAAGGAGATGCGTGGCCTCGCGTCGACACATCTCCAGACGAGTACCACTCGATTCCCTCCTCGCGATAGAATTGAGAGGCAGACGTGAAAAATAGCAAATTTGTGGAGATGCCTTCTCCCGATACATGTCTGTAGCGAAATTTCTTAACGTCACGTCTATTTTTCTCGATTCACACGAAATTGGTAACCTTTGACAACCCGACGGAAATTTCATTCCGCGCTACGGAAAAATTTCCCCAAAGTCAAGTGAAGCATCTGCGAAGAGCGTTTTCAGTTATAGGAATTTCTCTTGGAGAGAAAATCAATACAAGAAGAACGTATACAGAAAAAATGAGGTTGTATTAACAGCATTAGCATTAGCTAACAAGGTTTAATTGAAAATATTGTTTATGCAATAACTGTATTTATTAAACAAATGCGTTACTTGTTTTAGTAAAATTATTTTATTATATAATACTATTATTGCATTAATAAAATTATTTTTTGATAGACTTTTAATACATCATTTTTTTCGTATAGTTTTGGGAACTTTATATAGTAATGGGAGGATAAATATTATATATTCTCGTATTTAAACCTTTGAATAGAGAATTACATTTAAGCGAGGATTATGTTCATCATAAAAAAGATTCTTCTTTTATCATGCACTTGGAAACGTATACGAAGTTGCGATCAGCGATTTCCAGCAAAAACGTAATACTTGTTATGATAAAACATAAATCATCCGTTGATTATCGGCAATTATGTAAATCGGTAAATGGTTACAGATAATCACCGATGATATTATACGATTATTCCTCACAGCCGCTAGTTAATCACGATCGACATAAGGATATTTCCATTATGATATCCGATTATATCCTGATCCCGCGCGAGCGTATCGCTCAACCCGATCGGTTTATTTCATGCACTCTGGCGAACGTGCCGAGGGCATCTCTATATTTTTATCGATTTTCGGGGAGCATCCATTCCCCAAATGATTACGCCGCGCGCCGGATGCACGTACGCGCGACGGAATTCACCCGGCTCGTATAAATAAGTTTGCAAAAGCTTTACTGCTTTACGGCGCGGCGCACCGAACTTTACGGCGGCCCTCTTTCGGTATCGGCGCGGTGTCCCGCGCGGAAAGTAGGCTTTTTATTCGATCGATACATCCTGAGCTGACGGTTTCTTTGCACTTTCAATGAGACATTCCTATAAAGACACTGTCGCCCGACTGTGAAAATATACGCCTGGCAATTTTTCACGGATATTTTATGCCGCATTTGGAACTAGTATCTGTTCTTTTTTTTTTTTCATGCAACGCAGATATGCTATGGATATTATTTGTCATTTTAATATCCTGTAATAGGTTTCCTTAATACTATTGTTATCTTTTAGTGACGAAAAATATTGCATGAAAAAAGAATGAAAAAAATCTGTTTTTGTTTGCAAAAGAAAAAAACGTTGTAGACAAAAGTTACAACGGCATCGCGATTTTACAATCTTAATTTTGCAAGAGATAATGAGGCATTAATTATTCTCGTCTAACGAATGCAGGACAGTCAATAGCTACGCGGACTGACGCGCGGTAAAGACTGCGGCGCGGCGCGGTGGCGAGTAATATTTCCACACTTGATGATGTACTGCAGACACTTGAAGCGTTCTCACGGCTATTGCAGTGTAGGCAATGTGGGTCTTACCTATTTTCCAGGCACTGCAACGAGAGCTACACTTGTCTCTGCGTTGGCCCTAATCCAAACCACGGTTACACCAACTTCGATAATTTCCTGTGGTCGATGCTCACAACCTTTCAGCTGATTACCTTGGATTACTGGGAGGACGTCTACAACAAGGTCTGAAAGATTTCTCTTAGTTTGTCTCACGGTATATAGCAGAAGTCGTGCGCTCTTTTCGTGCCTTCAAATTCTTTCGACGTGTCTAGAGAAAATTAGATAAAATGAGTTTCTTTGAAAACCTTTTGTTACTCGTTTTTGACCTGCTTTCTCCTGAATCGATATTAAGCAAACAATTGTATTCAGAAAATTGATGAAGTGAAAATTGATAATGTTTACACTGTTCAACAAAACAAAATTACATAAAAATGAAGGTAATCATTTTTCATAGGTTTTTGTTTATTAAATTATTCCATCACGTCACAATTTTGAAAAATTTGGATTTAAATTTTAAAAACATTATTTTATGGTATTTTGACATGTTATAACTACGATATGTGTGTGATGTTAGAGAACTTTCAGTCTTTAAGAAATTTGTCTTTATTCTTCATAAATTTGTTTTAATTTGATTATAATTAAGATATTTATAATTGATATAGGGTTTATAGAATCAAAGTTACGATTTACATAGATCATAGAATATATTAATTAATATTTTTTAATTCAAATTTAATCTAGCCTAATCGACAAATTTTTTTTAATTTTCTATAACTCAAACTCTTCCATGTTTGAAAAAATTACGTAACATATGATCAATAACATTTTACCTTGAAATTTGAATTAACAATTAATTTTCAAATTTTTAAATATTTTATTGTACAGAAAATTAAATTTATAACTCTGAAGTCATAATGTGTGATGGGATACAATACAACACTTATGTACATATACTATATGTGTGTTTGTGTGAGTATAATATATATGTAACATGATTTTATAAACCATTTTCCATATTAATTAATATGGAAGTCCATAAAACAGTTCATATAAAGTGAAAGAGAGATATTGCATTTTGAACATTTTATTTTAGGAACATTTTTACACCTTAGTTTTTTACGTCTCCTCTTGTCGGAAAAGATTGGCTGATGAGTTATTTTATCCTTTTGTAAAACAATAAACTTCTGGGTTATAAAAGAATGATATAATAGTAAAATACTCTCTCTCTCTCTTTTCTACGCTCAATTATGATGAAAAAATAAAATAAAACTTAAGAAATATAGATACATAACTTTAAAATTACACAGAGTTATAGAGAATTAAAGTCTCAAAGTCTTAATAACACACTTAATTTTTATTGCATTAAAATTCCATAAATACATAATATATATATATATATATATAATTATAGTAATTATAAGATGTCGAAATACACTAAAATAGTTTTTTCTTACAACTTGAATCGTAAATTTCTTAAAATTGTGACGTCATAAAATAATTTGGTAAATGGAATCGTATTCAGCGCTCAAAAAAACTACGGAGAATTAATTATTCTCGTTCTTGTATATTCGAAAAAAAGTCAGTTTTTGTTGAACGGCGTTATCGGATATCGCAAATATAAATTGAAATTTATATCTTTTGCGAGAATGGAATTTAGATCGTTGCATTCATCGGAAAAATATCAACAAAAATATCGGCGCGTACCGTATATTTGTTATCATAAATATTTTATACAGCTATTCGTTATAGAAGTGATAAGTAAAGTTTCACGGAACAGGTGTTGTCGGCGTGCGGACCTATTAGCGTCACGTTCTTCACGGTCGTCGTTTTCTTTGGATCATTTTATCTACTGAACCTGATGCTGGCCGTCGTGGCGTTGAGTTATGAAGAAGAAGCTGAAATTACGAACGAGGTATGCACTCCATTTCAAATTTTGATACGTACGTCCATGTCTTATAAATAAAAAATATTTTATATTCGTATTAAAACAGTCCATTTAAATCGTTGATGAAGTTTTAATTTTTAATTTTATATCTGAGTGATCAAAATTAAATTTAACATAATGTAATGATGTTACTTAAATATTTTGTGTTAAATTGATATTTAATATTTCTTTGTATTAATATAATACAATTTATGAATTTAATAACATATACAAATAATTGTAGTTTTTAAATTTAAGATAAATGAACAAAGGATAAATGTACATATTAATTTAACAAATTATAAATTTTAATTTTACTGAAGAAATATGTTTCCACAATTTGTTTTCAAACAGTGTTTTTTCAAAGTATTACTTTTTTCTGTTAATTTTTACATAATATTTATGTTACTGTCTAATATATTAATTTTATTAAATTAACATAAATATTTGAGTAGATGTTTGGTACATGTGAAATGTATTTTTAATTTTTCAATTTTCCAACTGTACTTTAAAGCCGAATTTCGAAATACAATATTAATTCGAGCATCCCATTCGAAAGAAATAGAGTTATGCTCACTCTACAATAATGCACTAGAAATTTGCATAATAATTTGTATAATAAACCGCTATTATACATTCATTCGTTTGATTAATAATTTTTATCACGCATTTTTATGACGTTGTCTACATTTGACCGAGTATTTCGTGCGCAGGAACGAAGGAAAGACTTGACAGATCATCGCGAGGACTCGACGTTCAGTTTCGATCCGTCGAAAATCAACATTAAGACATTGACGAAAGATAAACAGAAACGAATAGACGCCCGTAAAGGGGTCTTGCTGAGCAGTTACACGAGGAAGAAGACGCGTAGAAGAAAGCGCGGCCGGAGCAGCGTCGGCCAGGAGAAAAACGGTGGTGCACGCAGCAGGTTTCTATATCTGTATTTTACGACCGACTTTACCACGGCTCGATTTGTCACGACCATTGTTATCGGACATGCGTGTTGTGCTTGCAACTTACTGAGTCATACGAATAAAATAGGGCTTTTGGTCTCATTTAACCGAGAAAATGCTAAATATAAAGACATGTCAGAGTAGTTATTTATGTTCAAAATTGAAATCGCTTATTCTTCGAAAGAGGAAAATGGGCGGAAAATTCACTGGGAAAAGAGGAAAATTTACTGAGCGTTATATAAAATATTTAATATCTTTTTAACTTCTTAAAAAAATATTAAAATGTCGAAATACTTTTTCGCGTAAAATTTTATAAATGAGAAACTTGAGGAGACGACATGTATTGCATATAAATCTGTTTTTACTTTTGTTTGAGAAAAATAACGCTTACTTTTTTTTTTAACTACAAAACTACGAGTGAGAATATTAAACTATCCTTTCACATATAAAGTTAAAACATTTGCTTTCTCTAAGTACAAAGTAGCAAGTGTAGCGAAAGCAGTCTTAATCTTGTCAGCATCTCCGCGCTAAAAGTATTCGGTGCTTTCCGTTTATCCTATACGGGTTAAAGTAATATCTAACATCCATACACACACACACACACACACACACACACACACACACACACATACATACATATATATACATGTATATATATATATGCATCTCGTTGCAAAGTCATTAAATAGCAGCAAGCTACGGAAAGACAAAGAGAAAGAAACATCATAAACGCCCTCATTTCCGAGAAACTGTAATAAAAGAAAAGCAGGAAAATGTGCTTGCCTTGCAATCTCACAATGGTAGGCCATACCGTATGGAACGCATATTCTGACGCAACTCCCTACAATCTATCTCAGATCTATCGTTACTGCCCTCATCTACGGTTTTTTCTATCAACTTGGAGTCATTTTGCATTTAGCGAAAATTTTATCTATTGCTTTTTACTTGATTGATATTGTAGTAATATATGTATAGTCTTGCAGCTATTCTTTTAATATATTATAATATTACAGTTAAATCAAAGTTTGCTTGAATTGTATTAAAGGATAACACTTTATAATCTATTTGCGCATTAAAAATTAATACTGTTTAATGAAATTTATTTATTTCAATTTCTCATAATTAAAGAATTGATTTAAGTTATTGGTATTTTGATATTTTTTTATTTCGAAAAAAATAGACTTCAAGTTGATTAACAGAACCAAATAAAAAGAGTAGCGATTGTTGAGTATCTTAAAAAATCAAAATAAAATAGACTGTGTATTATTAATTTAAAGAAATTAGTTAACATAAATAGAAAGGGGCTTTCACTTCTTGAATAGTACACAAAATGATTTTCTTTTATAATTTATAACTAATTCCTTGTGACAACCATTATAAAATTTAACTTGTTTAAATTCTTTTTTTATCTTAAGTCATATCTTTCATAAGTTTCTAATACATCCATCAATTTTAATAATAAATTGCAAACTTTCCTTTAGTTATATTTTACGTGACACTTACAAGCAGGAATGACCTGGTTTAGTGACACATGCAATCAGGAAGTGCCTTGGTATTCTCAGAGTTAATGTCATTACTATAAGCATCGATTTCGCGTTGAACCTAGCTGCAACTCCATGTAGTCTCGAGTCTAATTAGTGTAATGCCTCGAATAATCATTGATTTGTCCGGCCTTAGTCCTTAAGAATTACAATTTGCCAAATCAGTTGGCTATTCAAAACTTGAACATCCATTACACGTATTTAAGAGTATTTATGAAAATTACATATAAGATTATAGAGATAAAAAAAACAATCTCAAAATCTTATTGAATAATATTTCCCTAAATATATTCTATAACATATGAAATATCAAAGCAAGGTGCTGCCAAATATGAAGTTTATAAATAAATAACGTGAATTGTGCAATGCAATTTCGTAAAACTCAATATTTCTTATTGATCAGATTTGATTGTAAGAGAACCTATTCTCTCGACGAAATATTGAATTATTTGTGAAGCATAACGTTGAATTCTATTGTAGGTCCATGACGCCCAGTCCGAGTCCAAGTCCCAGGCATTCCAATGTGCGGCCTTGCCACCTGCCGCTTCAGAACATCAGCCCGAGACCGCCGGAACCCAATACGGTTCACCGGCTTGCGCCAAATCGGGGTATGTTGCACTCGAGACAGGCCAGCAACAATAGCAATCAACAATCGTCGTTGGACGACTCCGGAGTGGTGGACGATCACGACGGCGACGACGTCACATCCGCCGAGGAGCACGATAAGCGCGAGTCGCGGGAGCATCGCGCTGAGAAGTCGCAGGAAAGATCCCCGAGGGAGCATGGTAGACACCAATTGAATCAGCAGATGCGCCCGGACTGCCCACCGGCGCCGGTCACCGTGTCGGTAAGAACCGGCAATCGGGAGATTCGGGTGCTCAAGTGCAACGGGGTCAAAACCAAGAAACATATGTACGCGCTGCCGCCAGAGTACCTGTCGCATATTGTAGTTTTAGGTGAGTGAAAACTACGGCGTATGCTGGCGGTATTTGTTTATTGAGATAATATTGCCGGCAATTGAATTAATGGGTCGAAATATTTCCGAATCAATTTGAAGTTGACTTTTTCCTCAATTGAAACGCTGCGGAAAAATTGATTAGCAATGTAATTGTAATTTAATTAAAAAACATAATTCTCAATGTTGAATGTTTGCAAGTTGCGATAGATAATATTTATTGCGTGAACGCTAACTTTATATAACCGAATTGCCGGACTAAAATTTGCAAGTCCTCTAATGAATTTAGCGCCAGTTTTTGTATATGCGTATTAACTGTATATGTCAACTGTGTGCAATGTATCTCTGGCCAAAATCAAGTAAAACTTGTTTTTTTCAAAATTACATATACGCATTTCCGTAGTTTAATTAATTAAAATATTCAATATTGAATATTCAAAGCTTACAGTAGATAATATTGACCGTGTGGAGTGCATTATTTATTCAAAATCAGCTATATCTGAATTAGTACAGTAACATTTGTAGGTATATTCTGCGAGCGAGAGATTATAATTTGTTACTTTTATTATATATTTTTTTATTAGATTTAAAATACTCAGATTTTTTAAATGTACGTGGAAAATAAAATAACGTATTATGTGATTGCAGAGGATCTTCCAGATAGAAACTGCGATAAGTGTATACAATGCTGCGTTGATTACGAAGGATGGCTAAGATTTCAAAACTGCTTGTATAAGGTAAACCTAACTATTCGTTTTTCTAAAATCTTAAACTGGACCCGGGTCAGTTACGCATTAGACGTGATTGACCTAAATAAACGACCGCTAATTAGCGTCAGACGGAAGTAAAACGCATACTTAACGCTGACCCGGTTCCTGCTCACACGAAACAGTTTTTTGAGGCGCGTAATCATATTAGAATTTACTTCACTCTTCGTCACGTTTTGCTAATTCAATGTTTAGAATTACGCAAAATACGTAATTTATAAACATAACGGCAATATCTCGGCATTTATTTTGTCAATAAAATTTAGATTTAATTTTTATAATAAATTTTGCTATTATAAATTTCGAATTTTAAACGAATATTTTTAATTTAGTAAAGAGAAAGAATTAATTTTTTTGTACAGTCGTGAACATATCGGTTGCGACACTTTTTTTTTAATAGGTTTCGAAACGCATTAATATTTTGCAAATGCGAAACACAATTGGTGTACTGTCTCTAGACTGAAGATATTACACCATCGTAGTTCGCATTTGCAAAATATTAGTTATCTATATATATTAAATATATTAAATATATACCTACTAAAAACCTATGAAAAAAAGTGTCTTGCAACCGATATGTACGTATAAATTTAAAAACTATTTTTCCGCAATCTTGTTACGACACGAAAATAAATTGCAAAATAATTTACGTCAAGGTGGTGAGAGATCCCTTGTTCGAGCTAATGATCACCCTCTGCATCGTCCTGAATACCGGCTTCCTGGCGATGGAGCATCACGGTATGAGCGAGTCGATACGGCAGGCGCTCAACATCGGCAACAAGGTGTTCACCAGCATTTTCGCGTTTGAATGCTTCCTGAAGCTCCTGGCGTTGAGCAAGGACTTCTTCAACAATGGCTGGAACAATTTCGATCTAATCATTGTCTCTGCGTCGCTTATCGACTTAACGTTCGAGCTGGTGGACGGCTTGTCGGTGATACGCGGCCTCAGACTGCTGCGCGTTCTAAAGCTCGCACAATCCTGGACGACCATGAAGGTTCTCCTCAGCATCATTATCTCGACAATAGGCGCGCTCGGTAATCTAACCTTTGTACTAGTGATTGTGATTTACATATTCGCTGTGATCGGCATGCAGCTGTTTAGTAAAGACTACAGTCCGGACAAGTTCTATCCGGATCCGGTGCCGCGATGGAACTTCAACGATTTCTTCCATTCGTTCATGATGATATTCCGTATTCTGTGTGGCGAGTGGATCGAGCCATTGTGGGACTGCATGCGTGCGGAAAGGGACGACGGGCCGAGTACGTGCTTCGCGATTTTCCTGCCGGCTCTGGTGATGGGCAACTTCATGGTCCTCAATCTCTTCTTGGCGTTGTTGCTCAACAGCTTCAACTCCGAAGAGCTCAAGCAGAAGAAGGAGGAAGTCGGCGAGGAGTCGAAACTTGCGCGTTCGTTCGCTCGCATACGATCGATCATACGCAAGCAGAAGCATCGAAAGGAGAACTCCGAGAACGAGAAGAATATCCGGCTGGAGCAGATCGTGCGCGAGGTGATGGACAAGTCCGACAAGGAGAAGTACGCGATCCAGGAGACCGTGCTGAGCCTTCCCAAAGACAATATTTATAATAGATCGTATCAAGAGAGTCTTAATCAGCCGGTCTTCACGTATGATCCGATCTTTCGTCAGGCTACTCTCACTACCTACAGCCAGAGTAGTCAGGAGACGGTCAAAGAGAACAAGAAGCTGACCGAGAAAGGCAACAGCAACGAGACCAATCCCGAGGAGAGTATAGAGCTGGAGGTGCTCAAGGACGTCAATCCGAACGAGGAAGTGGCCATGTTGCCGGAGGAGAAGCCGGCAATTCGGAACGACGAGAACATAGCAAAGCGTCCTTGGCACGCTCTCGTGAGTTACGTTGACGAGCTCACGGTCGGCGGTAGAAGAGACAGTAAGGGAAGGTACATTGACGGGATGGGCTCGTTTCCCGGTTTTGGTAGGAACAAGAAGTGCAAGGAACCGCTTGATTGCTTCCCCCAGCACTTCTACCAGAAGTAAGATATATTTCTAGTTTTATTTATCGAAAATTTAAAATAATGTAAAATAAAAACGCTATATATCTACTGAAATTATGTATGATAAGAATTAAAATCAAATTGAAAATTATATTTTAAGAATTCGTACTTATAAAGACACGAATTCAGAATTTACTTATGGTTATAGAATTCAAAATTCATTCATTTAGAATTCTTATTTGCTCTTATTTGCATGCTTATCCGGTTTTATTAAATGTTTGATGATTCAGGTGTAGCTGTATCAATCGTTGCCTTGCCACTGATCTCGGTAAGAAGTGGATAAGGATTCGTACGGTCGTCCTGTCTGTCGTGGACACGCCCGCTTTCGAATGGATGATTCTAGTTTTAATTTTCGCATCTTCCATAACGCTGTGCTTCGAGGATATCTACTTAGACGACAATCCTTTTTTGAAGAAAATTCTCTATTGGACCAATCTTGGCTTCTGCGCACTTTTCAGCGTCGAGATGCTTCTGAAATGGCTAGCCCTAGGCTTCTGTAAATACTTCACCAGTTTCTGGACAATCCTGGATTTTATAATCGTTTTCGTAAGTACGAATCGGATCGTCTTGCGCGCCAGTCGGTGTAAAATGCAAAATTTATGTGCGATCGCATACGTGTAGCATGAAATGTGTTTTGTCGATTCCTTTGCTTGCCTCCAAGCATTATATATTTATATATTCAGGATGAGCCATCTAAATTTATAAATAACTTACAATTTTTATTGCTAACGAGAATTGTGAAATTTTATTGTATATCATTAAATGGCGTAGAATAATTTATACACGGAAAAAAAAATGACGTATTAATTAGTCAATATTTAATTGAAAATATTTTTGTAAATTCAATGACATTAATGAAACAAATATGCCATGCTTTTGTTTTAATAAAATGTTTATTTTAATAATTTATTTTATTAATACTGTTATTGAATAAAAATTGTAATTATTTCATGCCATTGAACTTAGATGGTTCAACTTGTACATACATACGATAAGATGAAATAATTGAGATCATATTGGATGAAACACGCGTAATAATTGTTTGAATGTTGTTTTTGTGTTCCTTTTTTTATGTGTTTTATGTGTGGCTCCGTGGATCCAGGTATGTTGAAAGTTACATGTCTCAATGCGCTTCCATTTATATCGCGTTAATTAAAAATGATATTTACCGCAAACGCATGTTGTATACATTACTTTTTTATTAATTATACATTGGGTACCAGATGGATAGCGTTTGCATCATTAATTGAACTCACATATGCATGAAAGAAATAATTAATAAGGTGGTCAAATGAAAAAGAGACCATTTCTATTAAACCATGACCATATTAACAAAATATTTTCTAATTTATGAAATTGCAATGCTTGTATTTGTAAAAAATAATATTATGTGTTATAAATATGTTAATTAAATTTGCATATAAATGTAAACCAATATTTACTAATATATATTATACAATGTTGTTTTAAGATATGTCGCTGCATGTTTTATTATACAAGAATTTATATGCGAAAAAAATGATGAATGTCTTTACTTTCTTCATGTACATGTAGTTTGTATGTTTGCTTACTCAATGTAGCTTATGAATTTAATTTCCTGTACAATTTATTCTTTATAATCTCTTTGCATAAAAATTCATTATGAATTACTTAATATTTATCCGTAATTCAACTACACAGTATATACAAAAAGTTCCCGCAAATTATTTTGATTAAAAGTCAAATACGACAGACAAAAACTTTATTTTATTTTAATTTTTTACATATGTACGTATTTTTATTTTTTAGAACGCTATAATTATGTTTACAATAATTATTAGATTAAAAATAGATGATTTCTAACTTTTTCTCTGTCTCTTTTCGTTACTATCATCATACGCGAATGTCCGAACACATTATTTAAAAATTGGCTTATCAAAATCCAAAAATCCAATTTGCATGATGAATTTCATTATGTAGATCTAATTAGCAACATTGGAGGCAATATTGGGACTAAATTATGCTTTTCTCCGAACAGGTATCCATGTTTAGCCTTTTGATAGAAGAAAACGAGAACCTTAAAGTATTACGATCACTGAGGACACTACGCGCCCTGAGGCCGCTGAGGGCTATCTCGCGATGGCAAGGCATGAGGGTAAATATAATTACGCACAGATAAAAAAACCCTCTATCTACGAAAATCCGCTTGAAACGTACACGAACGACACAAAACACGAGCGCGATTGGTTGCGTTTATCACTGAGAGGATTTTTCTTCCCGGCTCGCAGATCGTAGTGAACGCGTTGATGTATGCGATACCTAGTATATTCAACGTGCTCCTCGTCTGTCTCGTGTTCTGGCTTATTTTTTCGATAATGGGCGTCCAATTCTTCGGCGGCAAGTTCTTCAAGTGCATCAACGAGAATGGGGAGAAGCTAGATATTTCGGTGAGTGTCACTCTTCGTTCGAATCTAATTATCAAGCAGGAGAATAGCACAGAAGAGAAAAAAAATGTATAAACTACATTTAGCTACACACGGATATAAATTTGATTAAACTGTAACATGAATAATTTTTCCCATCAGATAATGACTTTAAAATATTTAGATTGAAAAACTAGTACGCATTCGCTTTCACGAAGCAGCGTTAATTCCAATTTATATCCAATAATTATATACTAATATCCATTTCATTAGTTATATAAATCATATAAATTATTAGTTTCAATCATGACAATAAAATTTGGGCGATAATAATATTTTTCGTAAACGGCACGATTTAACATACCAATCTAATCGTCACGATTTAATATTGATCCAGGACCATTCTGACCGTTACATTTTTCTGACGAAATCATTTCGATTTCAGGAGGTGAACACCAAGGATGAGTGTTTCAGCAAGAACTACTCTTGGCAGAATAGCAAAATCACTTTCGATCACGTTGGCATCGCTTATCTGGCTTTGTTTCAAGTGGCGACCTTCGAGGGTTGGATGGAAGTGATGGAGGATGCTGTGGACGCGAGGGGGGTGGATCTACAGCCGCAGAGAGAGGCGAATCTGTCCGCCTACCTCTACTTCGTTATATTTATCGTCTGCGGTTCATTCTTCACGCTCAATCTCTTCATTGGAGTGATTATAGACAATTTCAACATGCTGAAGAAAAAGGTAAGAGCATCGGTCTCGGGGAAATTTAAATTTTTTTAATATTATTAAATTCTCCGTCGCGTGAAAAATAGTTCGCTTCATCTTCGCTTTATACTTTAACGTGCAAAATAAGAGTAATTATTTGCATCAAGCAATCATATTTGATATAAAGTAAAGAAAAATATTTACTAATAGATAGTTAATTTTATTAGCAAAATGCTATATGCAAAGATTATTTAACAACTTCGAAAAAGTGTCTTTGATATCAGATACTTATTTAACACTTCATATTTTAATGGTTGATAAAAGCTTGTTATTAAGTATTATTTTTTTATGTGAATGAGCAAAGTATGTTTCTTTTTATATGGATTCTCATAAAATTTATGTGACTGTAGTAATATAATAAGACGATTTTTTTTTTCAGTACGAAGGTGGGGTGTTAGAAATGTTTTTGACCGAGAGTCAAAAACACTACTACACTGCCATGAAAAAACTCGGCCGTAAAAAGCCGCAAAAAGTTATAAAACGTCCGCTGAATCAATTCCTCGCAATGTTCTACGACCTGTCCAATTCTCGCAGGTAATTGTATGATATAACGCTTTATAAGGCAAAGAGAAGCACACTGACGCTATGAGCAAAGAATTGTGTTGCTTATAAATGTTTCTGTCGATGGTTGTGCAAATTGATGTCATTAATAACATTTTGGCGACCAACTTTATTCCTTATCGTAATTCCGCGACAGTTGAAAATTTTCTTCTGCAAGGAGCATTATTACATTTAAACCCTAACTTAATTATTTTATTATAGAGAAATAATTTTCTCTTTTAAGTGTAAAATTAAGAATAAATTTTTTTAATTTATATTTCTTTTGCTTTTGTAACATATTTCTAATTTTTGCAATTATAAATATTGCTTTTATAAAATTATTGCAATGTAACTTATTAGTTATATATGTACTACACAGTCTAATATTGTTTAATGCCTCGCCTCTTAATTTTTTCTATCGTATATCTAATCCAGTCGAGACAACTGTTTGGTGCCAAAATGTTAATCTGGCTTTTTTCAACGTAATCAAATGCACGTGTATTATTCGTTGAAATATAATGTGAATGAATGCGTAGAAATGGTGCGGTCAAAATGACGTAAACAATATATCATGCGAGTTCGATGTGGCGGTCGTAGGGTGTAACGCGCGTTCGATCGCGGTGCAGCGCGAGCAATGTGGCAGGTGTGTATTTCCCCTGCATTTCACAGACATCTTAAACTAAATCGTTAGCAAACAAACGAACCTTACGCCCTCGCTTTTGATATTTTAATTAATATTTGGACATTAATTAATATAGATACCTATTGTCTCCATTCTTGAAATCGGCCTTGCCGAGTATATTAAATTCCTTTACGGTAATTCTCGCGCGGTTGTGTTAACGGTTTAATACGAGCAGATGTCTGTGCACCGCCAGTTGTTATTAATAGAGTAGTTTCAAAGCTACGACTGCGCACCTCCTCGTTGCTCACGCCGCTGCGCTTGAATGCGTGTTTCACAGGATTCCCATCCATGTATATATTTTATTGAGATTTGCAATCAAGACCGTATAGATAGATTCTCGCAGATTGCTATTATATCGTATTGTCGTTCGTCGACGATCAACAGCGCGCAAATAAGAAGATCGAAGAAAGAAGATATGTTGAACGTCAGAATAGCTTTCTTCACACACATACATCGGAAGCAGTCTATAAAACTATCATTAGCTTCGTCTACAACTTGCTTATTCGTCAACCATAAGAAGATAATTTCAAATCGCGAAGGATGAGGTAAGAAAAAATATATATTTTATTACGTTTTAAAACAGTTCTTTAATTTAAATATCTTATTTTTTCAATGGCTTTATATAAACTACATATAATTTTTCTTATCAATTATGAAACTTAAATGATGCTAATTTGTTGAGAGTTTTATTTTTTCGTACAAATCGAATTATATATATATATATATATATTTTTTTATATTACCTAGCATATGAAAATGTCTTTAAATAATACTACGTTGTAATTTTTTAAGATCACTAAATTATGTTATACGACACAGAAGATTGCAAAATACTCTCTTTTCTTTTTTTATTCCCAGTTACTAGATTTAACGCCGGTTCAATAGATAGTTTGCATACGCATTCGTTTCTTGTGCGGTAATATTTATCTGCCCGGTGTGAGCATTGTAATATGTATACAAATCGCCGTGACACAGTGCGTGAATTTTCTTTTCAGCTTCCAGGCGAGGCAAGACCGCGGAAGATAAATGCTACGACTCTACAATCCGTTTCTCGGAGTAATGGAAAATCGATACCCAAAGGACATTAACGCTCGCCGCCTCTAAATTGTAGATACACAATGTCGGTGTATAGTGATACAACTGTACATAATAGACGAGATAAGCTGCAAGCTGGGAGTTTACGTAAACGTCGTAACTTTATAATTCTGTGCACGCAGGGATTAGATACTCACTCTCCATCTCTCTCGCTCTCTTTCTGTCTCTCTTCCCGTAAAGTCCATACAAATGTAAAATTAGCTGCACAATAACGGAATATAGAATTATTACGACGGTCTGACAGTGTGTGAATTACGAATGAAAAATCTCATTACTTTAATTAAATTTTTTTTATCAAGCTTACAGTTATAAATACATATTCTGTTACATATTTTTGTCACAATGAAGATAAAAAATTATTTATATCATTTATATAATTTTTGCTCTTTTTCTGAAAGTTTTGTTTCAACTGTTTAAAGAAAAGGAACATTAAACATTAAAATCAAATGTCACATGTACCGCCAGCAGATACTATTTACGTCATTTTTACCGCTCGAATGTTTTAAACGTGCATGCGTTAAGCGATCCGCGAACTTATCGCAAGGAGAGAAATACGATCTGATCTTCCGTACTGACTTTCCAGATTTGAAATAGCTATCTTCGTTTTGATATTCCTCAACATGCTGACGATGGGAATCGAGCACTACAATCAGCCACATCCCATCTTCTTCGTCCTCGAAGTGTCGAACGCGTTCTTCACGACTGTTTTCGGTCTGGAGGCGATCGTCAAGATTGTCGGTTTACGTTATCATTACTTCACGGTGCCGTGGAATCTGTTTGACTTCCTGCTCGTGCTGGCATCCATTCTGGGTATTCTGATGGAAGACATTATGATAGATTTCCCTGTGTCCCCGACGCTCTTGCGAGTCGTGAGGGTGTTCAGAATCGGTAGAATCTTGAGGCTCATCAAAGCTGCGAAAGGTATCCGCAAGCTGCTCTTTGCTCTTGTCGTCAGTCTTCCAGCGCTCTTCAACATCGGGGCTCTGCTAGCCTTGATCACGTTTATCTACGCCATCATCGGCATGTCTGTTTTCGGACATGTCAAGAAAACGGGCGCATTGGACGATATGGTTAGTGCGGAATTACGTTATAAAACATTTATTTTTACGGACTAAATTTAACATCGCTAAATTAATATTAAGGATTTTGTTCTTAAATTTAATATGCAATATAGAAATAAATAGTTAAAAAATATATATTTTACGCGATAAAAATTTTTAATAGATTTATAAAATATTAAGTTTTAAATAACGTGCATTTTTTATTATTTTTACTTATATTTTATATTATTAATCTTGTTATCTGTTTTGTCTTTTTTCCAATTAAAATTATACATTTTAAGACAACGACGAGATCTTTCCACGATTTATTTCAATTTCTATATCTGTAGGAAAAAATGTTAGAAATAGAATGAAAGATTTTTCAATTCGTATTATTAATAATTTATTAAAATTAATATTTTCCTTCTCTCAGGTGAACTTTGAAACCTTCGGTAGAAGTATGCAGCTGCTGTTTCGTTTAATGACTTCGGCTGGATGGAATGACGTGTTGGAGTCGTTGATGGTACAACCACCTAATTGCGATCCCACCCCGAATAGCCGGCAGATGAACGGAGATTGCGGATACCCCTTGCTAGCGATCACGTACTTCACATCATTTATCATCATTAGCTATATGATAGTCATCAACATGTACATTGCCATCATCTTGGAGAATTTCAATCAAGCTCATCAAGAGGAGGAGATCGGTATCGTCGAAGATGACTTAGAGATGTTCTACATCCGATGGTCGAAGTAAGATATTATTCTCTTTACTATCATACTGAAGAAAATTTTTTTATTTAATAAGTCATATATTTATATAAAATATTAGTAAAATAAATTATTTAGTCACATGTCTTTAAAAATATCCATTAATTTAATAGAAATTTAATGGTAAATAATACGATGGCAGTCTCACCGCAATTTTAAATCGAAATTTTGTTTTTCTAGGTACGATCCGCATGCAACGCAATTTATCAGCTTCTCGCAGTTGAGCGACTTTATAGCGAGCCTGGACCCGCCGCTGGGGATATCAAAGCCCAACGTGGTAGCGTTGGTCAGCTTTAATCTTCCCATCGCAAAGGGTAATAAGATTCATTGTCTGGACATCCTGCACTCGCTCGTCAAGCACGTTCTTGGGCACGTCGAGGAATCGGACGACTTCAGGAAGCTGCAGGAACAGATGGACGTCAAGTTCAAGAAGCAGTTTCCGACTAGGAAAGAGTTGGAGATAGTGTCTTCCACTAGAATCTGGAAGCGGCAAGACAAAGCTGCCAGGTTGATTCAACGTACTATAAAGGAGTACATTGCGTGAGTATAATTAACTTGTGATCAGACAAATAATACTTATTGTAGAAATTAGATTTTTTATATTTTTCGATTTCTGCAATAAAAATTTTTCCGAGAAATTTCTTGGATCAAAATCGAAGAATGACCATGTAGGAGTTGACCTAGGTCAATTTTTTATATTTTTCGATTTCTGCAATAAAAATTTTTCCGAGAAATTTCTCGGGTTAAAATCGAAGAATGACCATGTAGGAGTTGACCTAGGTCAATTTTTTATATTTTTCGATTTCTGCAATAAAAATTTTTCCGAAAAATTTCTCGGATCAAAATCGATATATGACTATGTAAGAGTTGACCTAGGTCGATTTTTTATATTTTTCGATTTCTGCAATAAAAATTTTTCCGAGAAATTTCTCGGATCAAAGTCGAAGAATGACCATGTAGGAGTTGACCTAGGTCAATTTTTTATATTTTTCAATTTCTGCAATAAAAATTTTTCCGAAAAATTTCTTAGGTCAAAATCGAAGAATGACCATGTAGGAGTTGACCTAGGTCAATTTTTTTATATTTTTCGATTTCTGCAATAAAAATTTTCCGAGAAATTTCTTGGGTCAAAATCGAAGAATGACCATGTAGGAGTTGACCTAGGTCAATTTTTTATATTTTTCGATTTCTGCAATAAAAATTTTTCCGACAAATTTTTCGGGTCAAAATCGATGAATGACCATGTAGGAGTTGACCTAGGTCGATTTTTCATATTTTTGGATTTCTGCAATAAAAATTTTCTCAACAAATTTCTCGGATCAAAAATCGATAAATGACCATGTAGGAATTGACCTAGGTCGATTTTTTATATTTTTTTAAATAAAATCACGATTTTTTTAAAAATACCCACATAATTCATCTTTAAGATGAGCCTAGAAAGAAGTGTATATCTTTATTTTTCTGGAAGATATGAATTTTTAAACATTGGGGAAAAGAGGCTTCAACGCAGGTAACACGGCAATTTTAAGATAGGATTACAGTTGTTTAAATTTTGGTACAAACAAATCGACTAACATTTACGCAATTACGTACATAAGAAATAATAAGAAGCATAATGATCTCGATGCACGCGCAGGATGAAGAGAGAGCGCGAGAGAATCGCTCAGGAGGTGGATTCACAGACGCAAACCTCGAGTCCGGGTGGCGTGGATGGTAGGGGCGGGGGTGGATGGAGCGGTAAGCTGTCAGCCCTGCTGCATGTGCACCGGGGTAGCCGGGCCAGTAGTCGCAAGTCCTCCAGGGCCAGCGACGCCAGCGATCTCAGCGAACTCGGCACCGCTTCGGCGTGGCTGTTCCCGAATCTTCCTCTGCTGTTGCTCTCCGGCGCCACCGGAACCCACGAGGACCTGCAACCCCCGGCACTGACCGTGTCCCGTCCTTCACCAACCGCCGATCAACCTTCCGCTGCCTCCAGCTCCGGCTCGGATTCTCACGCTACAATCAGGTTGGTTTCTCTTCACACACAAACACACACACACATACACAACACAAGATAATTCTTAAAATTATATTCAAGAATCTCTCTTACGTTAATTATTTTTTCGCATTAAATTGATTTAGATTGCTCAATTTATATGCCGATTGAGATGAACCATGTTAAATGTCCATCTCTCTACTAACTTTTTCAATTAGATTATGCAAATGTATCATTTCGCGAATTAATTTATGTAACACTATGTGAAATATTAAATAATTTAACAAAGAGACAGTTGCTATAGAGAGAATATTTATTTTAAATTTAATTTCAATTAATTGTGTGAAGGATAAGATCGCGTATCAGCCTGAGGAGTTTGTACATATTAATACAGTTGTATGAATTACTGATATAAGTGTAGTAATTAATAATTAATTTTTATACATATCACACACCTAATATAATACATAAAATTAATCTAGTCTCTTTCCCTTTCAAAACTCCTCAGGCAAGAAAACGAGCAGGTAAAAGTAAACGTATACTTAAAACTCTTTTAAAAAATTTTAGCACTTGGTTTGTATGATGCTATATGAAATGAGAACTGAGATTTCAATTAGTGGTTGAAGTATCACGTATTCATCGGCAGGAAATATACATAGATTCGCCATTTAATTCGTAGCAATGAAATCAGTACGCTACAGCGTTGTAAACGCTAAAAGTACAATGTGAAAGTTTTAGCGGACTAGTAAATACATTAGCAGAGATTAGAAGATAATAGAAGCTCGTTTTGCATAATCTATACTCTCGTAATAATTCATTGCACAATTATAATTCATTACCATGCTTATCGATTTATAACTGTAGTTATAAAAAAGTTGCTATTATTATTACTACGTTGATTATCATGGCTTATTAATGACATTTAGATATGGCATAATTTTAATTATGTCCTACTTCCAGTAGGTTTAAAAAAAGACATTTTTTTCAGTCACGATGTGCAATTTCGAATTTTTTGCATGTTACATATATGTAATAACCCCAGTAGTAGAAAATCCAATCTTGCATAAATGAAGAAACATCTTATTGCAAGGAGTATACCGTTGCTGTTTTATTTATTACATTATTTTTTATATTCGGAGATTGCTTTCTATAAATTATAATCGTACGTGCAGAAGTTTTCTTCACAAAATACATTCAATTATAATTCATTATTTATCTCACGCGACATTCTCCCAATATCTCACGATTACAAAAATCTTGTTATCTTCGAAAATTGGACTCGTAGAGAATAAACTCGAATCCTGCAAAAATATCGTACACTGAGAAACAGTGTATCACTGTACAAAAAGTGAGGACGTTAACAACGGTTCGTTCTCTTAACGTGCCCGCAGATCGCTGGGCCGGCAGGACGCAGTGGAGAAGTATCCGGAGGAGGATGTGCTCAGCCCGCCGACCTCGAAGCGTAGCTCCCTGCGGCCTAGCGGTACCACCCTCTCGCTAAACACGCTGCAGCGGGACATCAAAGAGGCGTTCAACCGGCGATGCGGCAGCCTGAGACGGCGGGCACCGCCGGCGGAGCCGGTGCAGCTGCCGATCGAGAGTAGCGACGTGAGTATTCTGGTGACAGAGCCCAGCCCGGAAAACACGGCTCCGCCTTCGAGACCGCCGCTGATCAGACAGCAGTCGGAGGCGACGGTGGTGCACGTGTTGGTGCACAGGGAAAGCGAGGAGTACCAGGACACACCGGACGACAGCTGATCCCAGTCGACGGTCACCACGCCGGACAGCGACAGCGGCGCGACTCAGTGATAATACATACGTAGAACGTATATTATATACATATATGTAGAGACTTTTCACACAGATCTAATTCTAGATAGGGCGATAATCCGCATGGCTTTTCCGGGGCGAATCTCCTCAAGGACGAAGAGCGTATATTGCGTTGTGCGTGTGAATGTATGCGAGTGCGTATGCGTCGTCGAAGTGTCGGATGAGAACGTTGTATGTTTGGCGATGGTTCTTGACCAATTCGAAGAGAAGAGAAATTAAAGGATGGTCGTAGGATCTTTGTTGATTTGATAACTGCTTATTCAGATAACCATTCTGCTAAGTCGCGCGAGAAAAACAGGAAGGAAAACAGGAAGGTAGATGGAGAATTGTTCTCTTTGTCTTTTTTCTGGAGAAGAGTTTTAAAAACGAAGAATGTCTTGGTATTTCAAAGATTCGGCGAACGGCTCCGGGATTCTCGGGAGCTGGTTTTCACGAGGCACATATAGTATATACGATAAAACATACGTCAATTAAAAATTATACATACACACGTACGAGAGAGAGAGAGAAAGAGAGAGAGAGAGAGAGAGAGAGAGAGAGAGCGTGCGCGCGTGAACGAGTGAAAAACAAAGAGGAAAGTCCATCATTGGGTGATCATGTCAAAGCGAATACGAAGTTTTAATTATGTATAACAGCGTTTTGATAGCGAGAAATAATTACACATTAGAAAAAAGAAAAAAGAAAACAAACACAATTGCGTACGTGCTTATTATGTGCGTTGAAAATTCTTACCACGCAAAGTTGCATTCCTTAAAGCACTTCTTGGGGAATTTTTTATTACGGTTCTGAGCCTATCGACATTTGCATGTAAGTGATTGAAGCATGACTTATCCTTTCAAAAATCTTCGTAAATTTAAACTATTATAAAATATATATGAGAATTTTATGAAAATGAGTTTCATTTTTTCGCTGTTGTAAAAATTATCCTAAAATTAAAGACATTCCCGGGTTAAAGACACTCTTTATTTTTAGAAAAACTCCAAATCAAAATCCATCTTTCTTTTTCCTTTCTCCAATGTGTATACTTATCTCAGTTTAAATGCAAAGGGCACGACAAAGTACAGCTACAAAGGATTGAACGAGCGCGCCGTGATTATATGCAATTTTATGCGGTAAAGCGTTCGCGGGCGCGCGATTCTCGTCCCATATGTATAACCCACATACATCGCTTGTATATACTTAGGTATAGGACGAGAAAAACTGCGAGGTACACTGTCCCGTCGCAGAACGATGGAACAAACCGGAAATACATGTACCAACCGCCTCTTTCAGGGAGCCGCGTCTCCTACGGCGAACTATACAATCATGCGGGGGTGGCTCCACCCTAGTGCAGGAGAGATCATATCCCGCATATTAGAAAATTACGACTAGCCTTTCTGATCACATGTCCGCAAACGTGCGCGGATAAATAATTGCGTTACGCTCAAGAGCCTACACATACTCTCATATTCACTAATATAACATTCATATACCAATAATATACATATATATATATATATATGTACAATATGTATGTATGTATGTATATTACAAGTGTATGTAAACCATACCACACGCATACGATAATTATCCATGTATAGATATATACATATACACATATAAAATGAGACGGCGGTTTGTATCGCTGTTATAATATCGCAGTAATTTTTAGGATCACATTCTATGCGTGCGTGCGCGCGTGCGTGTGTGTGCGTGCGTGCGTGCGTGTGTGTGTGTGTGTGTGTGTGTGTGTGTGTGTGTATGTGAGAGAGAGAGAGAGAGAGAGAGAGAGGATTCGCAAGGATGAAAGCTTTTCTTTACATTTTCACGAATCAGTTTTTCTCTCGCTTATTTCCTGCTTGAGATCGGGGAACTCCGGCCGTTTTCATCGGGGAATTTTCGCCTGCCGCCGAGCTTTAAAATCGCGAGACAAGGGAATGATCTCTCTATCGCAAGTTACTTTATAAATTGTATATTCAAATATAATTGCACAGAGAAAATTACATAGGGTATACAATACATATATATAAGCCGTTAGTGTCTTTAAAGTATCTGATTGGGACGTGAAGGCGCGAAGTCTCTCTGCAAGAAGCGAGAGCTGCTCGATAAAGGTGCGATTACAACGCGGCTGCTTCTTCGAAATGTGAGAAATTATATATTAGGTACACCCGTTTAGATAATCCGTTGCTCTCGATCGCAAATCCCCGATATCGCCTCAGAAATGCGTCTTTGTGGCAAAGTAGACGAAAAGAAAAGACTGGAATGTATGTGCGGAAACTTGGACATTTGATTTTCAATATTGGAAATTAGTTTCAACATTTGTTTTGAATTCTTTTGTAATATTTTTCGATTCCTATTCAAGTGTTAATATTCAAAAACACACTAGTAGAAAAGATTGACTTCTGACTCCTTAATCGACCCCTTATATTTTGTTGAAAAAAATTCAACGCAAAAAAGTAGCCAAATAAAATTAATATGTAGCTTTTTATATATAAAAAAATGAAAGAAATTTTCACAAATTTTTATTTTGATTCGCATTTTTCACGGGAATAAACAAAAATTATTCTGTGTGAAAGAAACTTATTATGAAAATCGAAAATGAGAGGCATGATAAAAAAGGAAAATCTGCGTGAAATGAATTTAAGTACACGTCGGACTTATATACTGAGCTTATGAGCTTAAAATATTTTATGATTTAATCAATAATATCGTCGTTTCATATTAAAACAATGTCTTTTGCTCGCGTCTTGTAAAAAAAATACAGACCTTCATTGCAAAAAGAACGAGATGAATTAAAGAAAATTCAGCTACACGAACAGTTCTCTAAATTAGCGATTTAAAATTGAATTTTTTCGAATAAATTGACGAGATTTCTTCGAATTTATCCTATCTTTCGCAAGACGCACGAAATATTTGGAAAGATTAACAGATATCTTGAAATGTTTTACATGATTTAACGGTATTTAAACGCTTCTCTTAGAGATTCTCAATCACAACCCTCAACTTGTTTTCTCTTATAATTTTCCTCTTGCCATCCTATACTTTCTTATGCGATAATAACATCACAGGCCATTTCTCATATTTCACTCTCATGAGGATACGATTGAGCACGTTCTTTCCTTCGCTTTATATCTTAATTATAAATAATTAAGGGTCCGTTTGCAGTAACGGCCTCGGTCAACTAATAAATAGCAGCAATTTCCTGTTCCTTTCCAGATTACGACGATGTTTTCAATATAAAGCAATATATTGTTTGCCATTGATAATAAGAAAATTCTGAAAAATTTTTATATAAAATATCATGACGATTAATCGTGAAATATAATCTCTTTTGAGTGAAACTCGGTCGGCGAAATTAAGCAAGAGATATTATATTAGCCTCTCATTTGTTATCCTGATACACATTTGAAATGTAATTCGCCGATTTTTCAACTTCTAATGTTGACTATTTCTGCGTCAATATATACTAAACATCTGAGTCGTTTTTTCCAATTATGTGTACAGCATAATTGGCTGAAAGGAACGGTGATAATTGCAATATATCCTTTAAGCAGAAAGAAAGCTTAGTTGACCACGAGAATGTAAAATCACACGGAAGGCATTAATGCAACGGGCTCGAAGGGAGATTCGCATTTTTCGATACGACACCGAGATGTTCTAACATGATCTTCGATAATTTTAGATCAGTCTTGAATTCGAACGTGTATTGTATGATAACTTCTCATTTCGCTCCGCCTGACTCGAAGGCGCGCAAACTCGTCAATACACAACGTTGTTAACAATATTGTAGTATATAATTATAAATAATAATACAAACGAAATATAACTAGAAATGTTAAAATGTTATCGGGCTGTTGTTATCTTCGCTGAAACATATGTCATTGTTTCCGCCCAAGATCTTCCTCAATACTTAGGTAATCGTATAGATTTTCAAACATACCCGCGATATTACTTACATTATTAATATAATTAGAACAAGTGTAACATACAAGCCAAAATGTAAATAAATTTATTTAATGTATTCAAACATTAAGGAATAGGCAAAAAGATATATATACCTATATATATCGAATTTAAACTGAAATACATTACGCTAAATATATATACATTTATTTGCATTATGATACATACTTATTTCAGAATTTTTTAAATGACTACAATCAACAATCAAATAGCAACAATCGTTGCTATTGCCTGAACTTACGAGTGATTAACTTGAGTGGATTATTTAGTCGAAACTCGGGTACGTTTGTTCCAAGAGAAGTTCATCCCGTAGCTACGAGGTTTCGGCTGACTAACATTTGGCTTTTGCACGTAGTAATCCCATCCCATCTTTTTGCAGTGAGCAATCGCCTCTTCCTTTGTCGCAAAATCAACTTTGATATTTGACATAGGATCTCCACTGCATCAAAAATACATAAACATTATTATATCATGCATATAAATATATATGTTATATGCATTACTGTATACAATAGATACCAAATACCAGAAGTGGCTCAAATATATCACAATTTGTATGGCTTATATGTATATAAAACATAAACTTAAACACATTAATATTTACCTGGAAGTCCATCCCATCAATGGATTCTCCCAGCGTTCGCGTGTATCGAAATCCATTTGCCAAAGGTGAATATTATTCGTTCCCGATTGCATAGCACTTTTGGCAGGCTGATAAATCCGTACTTTGCGCGTCTTGATGTGTTCCTCAGGAACACCGGACACGTAACCAACGTCTTCTTCAGCTACAGTGATTGTGCTTTTCAAGGCTTGCACGTACTTGGCCTCCTCTTGTGATTGTATAGTCTCTTGAAGATTCTTACGCTGCGCTATGTCAGGTTTCTTTTCTACTTCTGAGCCTTTACTTGAAAATAATCTGCTCAATCTGCAAGAAACAAAACTTCTATAACTTGTAAACTCGTCTTTTCAATAATTCTTTATAAGCTAACGTTACATGCTCTGCTATTGCATTTTAATTTTAAAAAATAAAAACAGAATTTAGGAACAGTGTATCCAACGATTTAGAGATGGGTTGTCATCGATTCTTCAACTCGTATTAAAATTGAATATATTTGGCTTTATTGCGCGTGCATCAAGAAATTTTATAGTTTCAGCTTGAATATACTACGCATTGAAATAATATTTAGTATAATTAAAACGGATCTAGTAGATCTGTTATGTAAAATTTCGAGGTTATGTCCTATGTCTATCTTTCATTATCATTTGCCTAGAAAATGAACAAAGCGAGATACCCAGGACTGCTCCTGCAAATTCCACTCGCACATTGTTGCAGTAACGCGCGAGACGCCATTCCGTTCGCAAAAATATAACAAATAATAAATTGGACGCGAAACAGCTGATCATATGGAACAATTCTGGAACGACTGTCGGCAGCGTCGTCCGTCGATGGTGTCGGCAAACCTAGTTCGCCTTACGGCCAGTGTGCGGCGCAACAAAATTTGACTCAAATTTCGGCGCACTTTTCAAAACTATAATGCTGTACGCAGATTTAAATGTATAGTCAATAAATTAGGTACGTACGCAGCTCATTATATATACTTTGCGGTATGTATTTGTAGTCTTATATATTTTCCGTAAAGAAAAATTCCAGGAGAATCTGTAAAGTTAAATACATAATCTCTTTAGAAATAAATTTCAAAATGTTAAGCAATCAAATATAATTATAAATTCCGTATATTCTCCTTCAATTTTCTTACAAAATGTATATTTACACAGTGTCTTTGTGCTATTTCAGTACATTGTCGTTTTAGCTTTCTACCAAGAGATTGCATCCGTGCGTCACAAGCTCGATCGATCGCCATACGGAATTGTACGGAATGAGAGAAAGAGAAAGGGGATAGGAGAAAGAGAGAGGCTGACCTACCCTTAACGGTGTCACAGCGAGCGTACCGGACGAGCGTACGCATGCCCGACGTCACTTGCTCCTTCTCTCAGGAACTGCATCGCGTAGGGATAACACAGCGAGTAACACCGCGACGGGCAAATGTAGCTCGCGTGGGCTCACCACCCTCTTCGCATTTTTTGCATGTAATCAAGAGTCGAGAATAAGGCTGTTGCGAGGCGAGGCAGAGAGATGAGGGAAAATGTAAGTGCATATATTAACATGCGAAAATGTAAAATCGACGAATTTTCTCGGTTTCCTTGATGCACGTCAACAATCCCGGCAAAAATTTTTCTAATTCTTCATGTAATTTCTCAGAATTCCTATGTAAATTTTAGGATTTTTCAGAATGCCTTTTTTTTATTTCTCAGACTTTTACATGAATTAAAACATTCAGAAGTGCTTAGAAAATCTACAGTTTTTCTAAAATTCTTTATAAATTCTGAATTTATTCATCAACGAAACGTTGCAAATTCGAATTACTCCGAAGACTAATGGCAAAATTTATTTATCTATAAATATAATTTGTCACATTCGAAATTCGATAAGAGAAAATGTAAATTAAATTCTCTAAAAAGAGTCGATAAATTTTGGTAGAAATGAAATTTAATAAAAATTTAATATCTTGTTTTTGAAATGAGAAAATGAATCGATTAACTTTATACATATTTCATGTACAGCGTAAATTGTGTATTACTCTTTTCCAGGACAGAATTACGTTATGTTTTTTATTGATATTAGCGTTATGTACGAGAGTATATTCGGCGGACGCCAGGCACATAATTACCAAGAGAAATTACAGTGACCAAAGTGTAAGGGGCTATCTAGCCGAGGTAGGCAAATAAATCAAATTAAAGAAACAAGTACTTATTTTATATCATAACGTACGAATTATATTACTTAACGAAAAGAAAATATTTCTATGATGTTTTCTCGAATTTAAAACAACGAAATTTAACAACAAATTTCTCAGAGGATCTGCTGGTGGAACGAAGTGTGCAAGGAAGAATTTCACAGTAAATTCCGGTGTCGCTGCCCGAGATGGTCCTATTGCCGTGCACCAGGAAGATATTACGACGCGCATTGCAGTATGACACGCACAGGCTACATATGGACCCAACCGGAAACACCGTTGAGTCTCGAAATCGATAAATAAACGACGCTACGAGTGCCAGCCCTGCAAAGAAAGAAAGGTGAATTAAAAAGAATCGATAAGAATCCATTTCGCAAAGTCGCGAAATAAAGTAAGTGAAATATAATAATCATTTTTTCAATCTTTTTTTCAGTATTTTACGTATTTTAGTATTGCTACTATAACTTTACACATTTTTCATATGAAATAATTCTCTTGTTGTTACTTCATCTTTAAATCAATTATTTTCTATTTTGTTTAATTTTGTTCAGCATTTAATCAAACTAGAAATGGCAGAAAATATCCAAATATTTTTAAACAGTTACTCATTATACATCACAGAAATGAATGATTTTCGACTAATGTTAATGGATTTTTTTCACAGGGATGGCAATACGATGGAAATCAAATATCTCCCGTTTAAAATCAAAATCGGTGCTCGTTAGAGTTTCGCAGATTTCACCGGTTAAAACATGGCACAATTGTTCTAAAGGTAATTTTTTATTAACAGCTTTGCTTAAAAAGAAGACGAGAACATTATTCAAAGAATGGTATTCTTCGAAGACATTTGGATTTCGAAGAATAATGTGATAGCTGTATTATTAGCGCATTGACGAACACTTGCTGCCAAGAATTTATAATTGCTGTATTATATTAAACTCGTTATGGTCGTATATGGTTGCTATTAATAAAGCTCTGATGGAGTAATTATTTTTCAATAATCCACTCACTTGTCCCACAGATTTATCTTAACATAGATTTTCCTTACAGAAATACTGGATTTATTACTGGAAAATAGGAATTAACTACTTATTTTGAGTATTAAACTGAATTTCTGTAAGGGTTACACATAACTTGTTAAAACACTAATTTTGTTTTTAGTTTTTATAAATATCATTTAATAATATAATAATAATATCCTCCTCATTCATAATTTAATTATAATTTACAAAAATGTAACTGAAATTCGAGTGTACAGTAAGCCAAAATCTTATCGAAAATAGAAATTAGAATTAAAATTACCGCAAACAAACTAAATTTTAATTCAAGTCTGTCACATACAGTACGTGTTATGTACACAGAAAAAAATTATATATATATATATATATTAACAGCATCTAACAAAAATAATCTTGTTAATTTAATAACGTACATTAATAAAATAAATATTTTATTAAAACAAGCATGACGTATTTGTCTCCATTAATATACTTTATTGAATTAACAGCATGATTTTTAATTAGGTTGCTGTTAGCTAATACTGTTAACACAACAGCATGTTTCTTTCTGTGTACGTGCCTGGACCAAACAATGCTACAGATTACTGAGAGTTATTGATTATCTTGCGAACACATAAAAACTCTGACGTCAATGGTTTCCAGGATACGATCACCCGGCATTCCTACCCACTTTCCTGGGACGGTAAGCAGGACACCTGCGCGCGAATATCGATCTTCACCCACCTGTCTGATTGTACCGGCGAATCCTTTTTCAAAAATCCTCCACAGATCCAGTTGAGTTTGAACGACATCTGACACAACAGCTGTTTCTCATCAATCATCGGTATATCCAATTTATTCTGCATATTAATGAATTCACGATCGACTGTTCGTTTCCTTCATTATTCCTAGACACAATTGATTTTATTCAAGTTAAAGTGAGATATAATCGCTTACACTGCGCCGAATAAACAATAAATTTTTAACAAGCAATTAAAAATTATAATAGAAAACTAATGTTAATTTTATTACAAAATAAATAATATTAAAAAATAATTCGAAGAAATTATTGGCTGCCATTATATTAATTCTATAAAAGGCGGTTTTTTATTATTTTAATTCACGTTCAATTATTCTTCACCTTATATGTACGTTATATTTTCATATATTTATATCCCTACTACGCCGCCCTATAATTTTTTTACAGTTTTATTATAATCCCTTTTGTTCTAGCGATCTTATATATTAAAATTGTCGTATTTCGATCCAATTATCATAAAATAATTATAGAGATATATAGTTTTTGATATATTATTCCACCGGGTGGCGAGTCAGATCATCATTTGATTCGATCTCACTGTATTTCAACATCGAAATCTTGAATTCTTTTGTTTTCGTATTACGTCGGGCAATCGATTCATTTCCTTGCTACGTACTTGTTGCATTAATCTATCGGTAGCTATCTATATTCTCGAGTTGTGACAATTTTAGTTCGACGAGCGCTTGCGCATGTTATCGATTAGTGCTTGGCAGTGCTTGGACTGTTTCACTTGTTCAGTAGATCCCGCCGACTGTGAGATTTATGGATGAGCAGAGAGGCGATGGCGAGTGATGGAGAAAACCGATTCCTTTTAGTTCTCTCGGTGTTCGCAATAGTGATATTTAAAGGTGTTTCGTCCGATATCGGCGAAGAAGGTTTCGACGGAAGAAATTTCAACAAATTTAACGCTCATCTTTACCGATTCTCTCACGTATGTAACTGAATTTACATCTGATATTATCTTAATAAATTGTCATGTCGCAATATTTAGAAATTCTAAATTTTGCACTGATTTAAGCCAATATTCGTAAGCCGTTCGTATTTTCAGACCATCTTAAGTAATACATTCATTCTGCCCAGCTGTTATTGATAAATAAAACTTACGATTATTTTTGTTTGTTTTCCGGTAAAAAATGCAGGATCAGTCATTTTCGGAATCTCATAATGCGCCACTGCATCCCGTTGAAAATCATTTCTGGCGAAGTCCCGAAAATCTTGGTGAGGTTTCCGGAGTCGCGGTAGAGCCGAGTGGAAATCTCTTGATTTTTCATCGCGGAGATCGAATATGGAATTACGAGTAAGTCATCAATAAATTAATGAATAAAAATCAAAAGAGCATAACGTACAATTTATAAATTTCAAACTTTCTAAGGAAAACAACGATTGTTGAAGTATTTAAATATGCACTATAACACTTTTTTTAAAAAGAATAACTGTGATAGCTTTGGAGCTGATTTTATTTCAGTAACTGTATCCCTGATCGGATTTATTTAATTCTTTTAACTTTTAATATGCTAAATATATATTTCAGAACAATCCATTTAAATTTGAAATATTTCCATAATGTTTTATTAATAAGGGATTTGATGAAATTTTAGCACCTTCAATGAGAATGCAGAATATCAAGAGAAATACAGAGGTCCCATTCGTGATAATACAGTATTAACGCTAGATTCTAAAACCGGTGATATTATTCATGGTTGGGGAAATCAGACGTTTTATTTACCACACGGAATTCATGTTGATCCCTTTGGAAATATATGGTTGACTGATATTGCTCTCCATCAAGTATTCAAGGTATACATATAAAAAAATGGACATTAAAAAGATAAATAACCTTTGTTATAATTAATAAATGATAAAAAATAAATAATAATAGATCATAAATTTTGCCTTTAAACAAATGAAATGTTGCGTTATACTTAATTGTGAAATATCTTAGATTCTAAACCACAAATGTTTTCATTGGTAATAATTATGTATAAACGATGAATATGCGCATATATTTAAATTATTGTATATTGGCAAGTAACTGAAAATTTATTATTTAGTAATAATTTATTAAAAGCTGATATCCGTATAAATTATAGTACTCAGCTTCTGGTGTTCCTCAACTGGTCCTCGGTCAAAGATTCGAGCCTGGTAGTGACATAAATCATTTCTGCCAGCCAACCTCAGTAGCGGTTTTACCGACTGGCGAAATCATTGTCGCTGACGGATATTGCAACAATAGGATAGTATTGTTTGATAAAGGAGGCAATCCCAAATATACTATTGACGAAAGTACGTTAAATATATACTAATCAAATAATGTTAATAATGTCCATCTTAAATTCTTACATGTACTAAAATAATTCTTAAGTCTATATAGAAACACATTCTCTTCTTTTGTAAAAATATACTTTCAATATATTTTTTATTATTAAATATTTAAATAAAATTAATATATTTGCAATTGTAGATTGGCTTACTTTGAGAATCCCACATGCCCTGACAATTTTGCCAAATAGACAAGTATGTATCGCTGACCGAGAAAATTGGCGAATTGTGTGCCTGGACGTGACGTTTTCCGGATTGAGTGAAAATTTAAAACTCCCCTATTCGATTCATCATCCGCATTTTGGTCGAATATTTGGAATTGCGTCGTACCGTAAGTAATTCATGATAACTGCAACTTCTCGTGTATAAATTATATTTTCTGTATATTAAAAATACACTTTCAATCTCGTTAAATTCCAATCCATACTAATATTAAATAAATCATACAATAAAAATAAAGTCAGAAATATTGATTAATAAAAAAATCAGCAATATTATAATAGTACTTCATTTTTCAAGATAAATGTCTTTATTATATCAATAATTTCAGATGGTTTTATTTATGCTGTGAATGGTATGACATATAGAAACGTACAAATTAAAGGTTTCACCATCGATCCCTTAAATCAGAACGTAACCGGATTTTGGGGCCCAGAATCTTCAGTAAGTATTATGTTTTCGTAATTTCCATACATACATTATAGATATCTAACATATACATCTGAACAATGCGCAATAATATTTTGCTATTTTTTTAAATAAAAAAAATATATATTCTATTTTTTCTCAGTCTTTCACAATGCCCCACGCCATCGCTGTATGCCCATATGGGACAGCCCTTTACGTATCAGAAATTGGACCAAACAAAGTATGGAAGTTTGACCTGATAACTAAATCTAACTAAGGTTAAACTAACGCAGGTGTTAAACGACTGGTATTACAACTGAGAACGATCGTCTGATGCTATTTACACTTATAATTCTGGAGACCAGAAAACAAATTCATGAAAAACAGTGAAATACAATCGTTCTCTTCCAGCCTCATTAATCGCAGAATATAAAAAAAATGATAAGAAAATATTTTTTTATTCGCTTTCTAATTTAACATCTGTTATAACTATATTAATAGCCGCGATCCGATTTACGCTTACATTGAAATGTTCACGACTCCTCACAGGAAGAATTGATCCCTTTGTATTTAATAAACTCAAATAAATGAACCTAAGTTTCTGTGGATATTCAAGTATAGTGACACATTGCAAGCATACATAATTACACATTACACGACTTTGTAATTCATGCTTGGCCCGTGCTATCCCTTACTAGAAGACAAGGACCATATTAAATTTGATAAACCTTTCCAAAATAGATCAATGTTTCTTAAGTATTTTTTTATATTTATTTTTCATTATACACTGTATTATTTATTATATTAAAAAATATTAAATGTTTATTAAATATTTATTGTTTAATTACTTATTTGAAATAATATTTTAAAATATATAATATACATTCAAACAAACAAAAATTGCAAAAATTGCGTTTATCGCAAGCTTAAGAAATAGTCTCTAGACTATAAAAAACTTTATAAACTGTCATAGGCAAATTAAACAAAATTTTTATAGTATTTTAAAATATAACTGAAGAGATTTAATAATCATTTGAATAATTGAAACTTTATCAGATTGTTATTGCACGAAAACATTTCGATGTAAAAATAGAAAGAACCAAAAAACAGTAGCCCCAGAATCAAGCGAATGAGATTGAGAGTGGGATTTGGTCTTCGCGCGCGAATTGCAATAATAGAAATAACATTATGAATTTGATCTCACTAATACATGATCAATATGATCATGATTAACAATATTTCCTATAAATACACAGTCGTTTTCAGTAAATCCGTTCGTTTTTTCTAGCACAATGTATCACAAATCTCATTATCAATTTATTAAATATGCTTATGTGATATCTACTAATTAGTATCTATACTCCGTTCACAGTAAGAGCATACCCAAATTCGACGAAAATTCGTACGTCTCGCGCATGTTCCCTCCACAGAATGCTTGGAAAGTACTACTCTTCCTACCATCCTACCCATATGTGGAGAGGCAGGCATGCTCGTGCTGTGAATGGAGTATAGGTATACATTATTTATATCGGATTAATCGTGATTTATACATTACCGTGCACTAGAGTGGTGTTACGACATCGTGCATTGCGTACCTCCATGTCCACGTCCTTGCTACCTCTTCGAATTTCTCGCGATCGTTCATGTACATCTCCCCTAATTCTGGTTCTATACACACCTGTTAATAACAATCATACATTAGTAATAATTCAAATATATTATTGCTAGTCTTGATAAGTGTATAAATATACATTAATATATAATATCGATTTATAAATTAAATTGAAAATTTTTGAAAATTAAAATAAATAATTAGGGTTAATATTTTATTAAATATTTTTATCGAATAGATTGATTCCAAAATGATACACTTACATGACAGTACAGATCTGTAAGCAGACTTTGTATACTGATAAGAACTTTAGATATTATGAGAGCAAGTGACCAATTGTGATGTATCGAGTCAATAATCAATATCAACGTCTCTGTACCTCAATGTACGTTCGGGTGAGGTTTTTTTCGTTAGAAATCTCACTGCAGGTGGGCACATGGGATAACTGTAAGAAGTGTGGTTATACATACATAGTATATTAGTACATACATAGAATATTAAATTTTAATTCAATTTTACAATTAAATTTTAACATTTTCTCAGAGATTTTATTAGAAAGATAAAAAAATACTGTAAAGAATGAGCAAGCTTAATACATACCTAAACGGTACTTGTAGATATAGATAAAACAATCCTCCCTCATACGGATTTTCCACTGATCTCATGATAGTGGCTTGCCAGTGGCAGCACATATGATTGAGAGGCATCGCCTCAATGCTTTCCGGTGCATCAATCCTTAAGCTTTTGAGCTCGTTAAGTAACCTGTTCCTTCGTCAAGAGTTCTTCTCCATTCTGGGCGGCCGTGATCGCAGAGAGAACTGCGCCAAGCATGTCCGACACACAAGCGGTACCGAGGAGGTTAGACAATCGTACACTTCATACCAATTTTTGATGCAGCCGGTGGGTTTGTACAGAAGCGTAATTTCACATGCTGCTTCCATTGCAGCTGCTGTGACGTGCGTCAACAATAGGGCAGAGAGGATCCTCTCTGAATAGGGCAACAGGCCGCACTCTGCACCATCGTCGACGACGTCGACACTCAATGACACTCGACACTCTCGACAGACTGATTCGCTGCCGACAGTGCCGACCACAAGTCTTCAACAAGTGAGGTTCGAATCTTCGCTAAGTGGGGTTTGAGTCTCCGCTAAGTAAGGTTCGAATGCGCGCACGCTATAAGTGCAGCGGGAGAATTATAAATTCAATAAATCTCCATTAAAATGTGGTTCGAGTCTCTGCTAAGTTGGGTTCGAGTCTCCGCTAAGTCTTTAAGAGTATCTCGTCGGTGGTAGGTTATAAATGTTTAATTAAAATTATCTGGATGATTCACAAATCTTTTTAATCATGCTTCATAACTCTTCATACAAAATACAAACGATTCGATACAAAAAATTTGTATAATTTATTTATTTCGGTTAAACGCATGGCGAAAAATTAATTAATTAATTACAATTAATTGAATGACTCACAAACCTTTTTAAATGCACTTCAAATGTCTTAATACGAAATACAAACATATGGGTTTCTTAAAAAGACAATGTTCGACAAAAAGTCAATGTTCGATCAAATACGTTACATTATACGATTGTATTTTGTTTATTACAGTAAATTGTGATGTGTATCTAAAACAAGGTACACCGCATTTTGGAATATATCCATCAGGTTCCTCTTACTGTCGGATATTTCTCTATCAAATTGATTGAATGTGCAACTAAAAAGTTTGTTAAAGTATGCATATCCCGTAATTTCTGTACATTACTTAGACTTAGCGACTTTGCGTGAATTGCTAATGAGGTAAGTGCATCATCGGATTTGCCCCGCTTAATGATGTTCCCCAACTCTTTATCTTGATTTGATACCTTAACAAACAAAATGTAGAATAAAATTTTTTTATTTTCGACTTAGTTTTCGAAAAAAATCGAATTTGAAGATTCGCGCGACTTACGCATACAGCTGTTACAGTCAACAAAATACGGTTCGTCGAACGATGTTTAAAGTGTATCGTGTTTATAAACAATGTCTATACGGCATTTAAAAACTACTGAGTTCAAGTAAAAACACAAAATAAATTTTTCCATCACGTCGAGGAATCACGTCGTGCTTATACATATTATTAGTTCGGACGCTGTATATGTATGTATACGCACAATTTTTTAAATAATAAAAGATTTAAAAATTTAAAAGAGTAAAAATGATTTAAAGATAAAGTTAGGAAAAGCAGTTCAAGTATTATATTTATGTGTATAAATGTAAGAAACACAAGTTTTTTAAATTCTAAATTTGTCCTTTTGGCAATAATAAGCAACTTCATACGTGGAATAAGTCTAATAATTAATTTTTAAATGAACAATCAAATCAATTTATATGCAACATT